CGCCACCATCTCCCCAGAGGGGACTCAGGGTGGCTAACATGAAGCCAAGCCCAATAATTACAACAAATCAAAATTAAATACATACAGTAAATAATAACATCAGTTAAAAATAAACAGCAAATTAATGCAAAGTCAAAGATAGGGAATGAAAATAAATAGTAAAGTGAACATGACGTGCTGGGCCAGTTACAAGGAATGAAATTATGAAATTTAAAAACCCTGGGTGAGATGGATGAGTAGGGTAGTGTGTGTGGTGGAGGTTTCAGATGGGACAAGCGATGGAGTGAGTTTCACTAAAGAATGGGATAAAGTGTATCGTAGGGCATGTTGTACTGAGCTGGTCGAAGAATGGGAATTTACATTCATTCGTCAAAGGCACACCTAAACAGCCCAGTTTTTAGGCTCTTCCTGAAGGCTGCCAGGGTGGGCGCTTGTCTAATCTTTCCGGGAAACGAGTTCCAAAACCAAGGGGCTACCACAGAGAAGGCCCTCTCCCTCGTCCTCCTTTTTCATGCTTTAGAACAGTGGTTCTCAACCTTTGTAATGCCGTGACCCCTAAATACAGTTCCTCACATTGTGGTGACCCCCCCCCCCACCATAAAATTATTTCCATTGCTACTTCATAACTGTAATTTTGCTACTGTTATGAATCGTTATGTAAATATTTGATATGCAGGATGTATTTTCATCATTACAAATTGAACATAATTAAAGCATAGAGATTAATCACCAAAACATATTTGGAGGAGTATGGACAATGGATGATGGGCTTTGCAGTACCTTCAACAGATTCAGTTCTGACTTCCACAGACAACTGAGACCCCCAACGAATGAAAGACCTGGACGAAACTTGGCACACAGAACCCCCATAACCAACAAAAAAATACTGGAGGGGGTTGGCAGTGATTTAGGAGAGATATAGTTCACCTACATCTGGAGAGCAAATGTGAACCCAAACAACCATGGATCTGGACCAAACTTGGCACAAGCGCTCATTATGCCCAAATGTGAACACTGGTGGAGTTTGGGGAAAATAGACCTTGACATTTGGGAGTTGTAGAGTTACTATTTTTTTAATTATTATTAGACTCAGTTGGAAGGGACCCCAAAGGTCATCTAGTCCAGCCCCCTCTTTTATGCCAGGCAGGAAAATAAGAGTTAGTATTTTATTATTATACATTATTATTATTATTATTATTATTATTTATTATTCTCAGTTGGAAGGGACCCCAAAGGTCATCTAGTCCAGCCCCCTTTTATGCCAGGCAGGAAAATAAGAGTTACTATTTTTTAATTATACATTACTATTATTATTATTATTATTATTATTATTATTATTATTATTATTATATTATTATTATTATTATTATTATTTATTAGACTCAGTTGGAAGGGACCCCCAAAGGTCATCTAGTCCAGCCCCCTCCTTTATACCAGGCAGGAATATAGAATTAGTGTATTGTTATTATTATGTAGTATTATAAGACTCGTACAATTGAAAGGGAACCCCAAAGGTCATGTAGTCCAGCCTCTTCTTTCTGTCACACAGGAAGATAGAATTACTGCAGGAGCAATAATAATAATAATAATAATAATAATAATAATAGTCCATGGAAGGGCATTGGCCTTGAATTTTGGAGTTGTAGTTTGCCTACATCCAGAGAGCACTGTGAACTCAAACAATGATGGATCTTTATCAAATTTGGCATAAAAACCTGATATCCTGGAATTGGAATCCTGGTGCACTCGAGAGGCGCATGGAGGCAGAGGGATGAGATTGCTGCATCCATGGCCCCTTGGCCCTGCTGCTACAGTTCTCTGCCCCAGTGGCTGCAAAGGGCGAGGATGAGGGGTGGAGCTCGATCTGAATGGAGGGAGGGAGGGAGGGACGGGCCAAGAGCAGAGGAAAATAAGGAATGAAGGAGGGAGGGGCGGCGGGAAGGAAGGGAAAGATGAAAGAAAAGAAGGGATTACAGCAGAAGGAAGGAAGGAAGGAAATGGAAAAGATTGGAAAAAAGAAGGAAAGAAATAAAGAGAAGGAAAAAAGAAAGAGCGAGGAAGGAAAGCACCTGGGGCTGCAGAGCTGGAAGGCAGCGGGAGGAGCATCTGTCTCTCTTCACTATGCTCCTAGTCTTCGGCTGCTCTCCTCTTGCTGCCCTTTGACCCTGCTGCTGGCATGGCGGCTGCTGGTTTCCCATCTGGGGGCAACAGGAGCAGCAAGAGGAGAGTGGCCAAAGAGACGGGTGCGCCTCCCGCTGCCTGCCAGCCCTTTCCTTTTTCCCCCCTCCCCTTTCCTTCTCCTTTCCTCCCTTCTCTCTCTTTCTTTCCATCATTGTCTCTTTCTTTCTTTCCTTCTCTCCTTCTTTCTTTCCTTCCTTTTCCCTCCCTTTCCTTCCTTTCTTCTCCCTCGCCTGACTCGCGTTGCCCGTCGGGTCTGTCAAGCGGCAAAAGCCAGGAGAGGAAAGCAGCACCGCGTGGCCTGGCCTGCCGGGAAGCCCCTCCCCTGGCTCGCGCCGCCCATCGGGCCTCGCAAGCAGCACGAGCCAGGCGAGGGGATACCCGCAAGGCTAGGCCATGCGGTGCTGCTTTCCTCTCCTGGCTTTTGCCGCTTGACAGACCCGGCAGGCGGCACAACCCAGGTGAGGGAGGCAGCACGGCCTGGCCTGGCGGGAAGCCCCTTGCCTGGTTCACGCCGCCCGTCGGTCCTGGCAAGTGGCGAAAGCTGGCGATAGCCAGGCGACTGAGGCAGCACTGCGCAGCCTGGTGGAGGGGGCGGGGCTAATGGACATGGGTCCGCGACCCCTCCGAAATGACCCGGCGACCCCTCTAGGGGTCGCGACCCCCAGGTTGAGAAACGCTGCTTTAGAAGATGTATCTTGTTGATTTGACTGATACTGCTGGAAGTCATTTCACTTCATTTTATGAGAGTGAAAGTGATATTCTGCCTTCCTACATACATAATTTGCAGGAAAAGAAGGGGAGGGGGAGAAGAAAAGTATATACCATATTTTAATTACTTTATCTATCTAGTAGGGCTGGGTGGTTTCGTTTCGTAATTTCGCAATTCGTTAAAAATCGTTATTTTTTTATAACGAAGCGATAACGAACCATTCAGGAGCAACTAAAAAACGAAACGAATTTTTAAATTCGTTTCGTAATTGTTTTCGAATTCGTTATGTATTCGTTTCGTTATCGTTTTGAAATCGTTTCGTTATTATTTCCGCATGTCTGGGGCAAGTTTTATAGTTGTTGTTTGTTTAATCAGTGAAAAAAATTATAAATATCACACCAACAGTCAACAACAGAGGGAGAGGGAAGCTTCAGAAGTTCCCCCTGTCCCATTTGGAGGTTTTTTAGTGTATTGCGCGGTCGCGTCCGCCATTAACGAATCGATTCGTAATTGTTTCATTATTGTTTCATATTGTTTTGTAATTTACGAAATTTCGTAAATATCTAACTTTTTTTAAAAAAAATTTCGGAATTCTTTTAAAAATCGAAATGCAAAACCCCCCAAAAAACGAATCGATTTTAGAAACAAATTTTTCCGTGGTTGCCCAGCCCTACTATCTAGGTATATAATAAAAGTCAGTGTTTGTATGCAGAGGGAGGTGTATGTGGTAGCTTTCCAATTGGCTTCCACTGTGGCACTGTTTGCATAAGTTCTCTGATTGGCCAGTCTCAACATTCCAAGATTCTGATTGGCTGCCACTGTGGTACAATCTGCATATGGTCTCTGATTGGCCAACCTCAACATTCCGAGGTAGCAGAGGGAATAGGAAAGGGGCCTGAAGCCGTCAGGAATGGTTGGAGTTGAAGTCTAAAACACCTTGTGGCCCCCAACAATGACAGAACAAGACCAAACCTGGCACACAGACACACCCCCTCCCAAGACCCACTCTACATTCTGGGGCAGTTTGAAGGAGGATGGACCATGGATGACAGGACTTGCAGTTGTTTAACTCACTTCCTTAGAGCACTGTGGCCCACAACAATGGCGGATCAGGACCAAACTTGACACACACAGGCCCAATGGCCCACTTTAATTCTGGTGGGTTTAGGGCAGGATGTGCCACGAATGATGGGCTTTGCAGTACCTTCACCCAATTCACTTCCCACAGAACATTGTAGCCCCTACAAATCACAGACCAGGCCCAAACTTGGCACACAGAGTACTCATGGCCCACTCTACATCCTGATGCAGTTCTAAGGGGGATGGACCATGGATGATGGGACTTGCAGTACCTTTACTCACTTACTGAAACCACTGCAACCCTCATCCAATGACTGATCAAGACCAAATTGGCACACAGAGCCCTCATGACCCACTCTACATCCTGCTGCAGTTTGGAGGAGGGTGGACCATGGGTGATGGGACTTGCAGTACCTTGACTCACTTCCTGAGACCACTGAGACCCTTGCCAATGACTGATCAAGACCAAACCTAGCACAGAGAACCCCCATGACATACACTACATCCTGGTGCACTTTCGAGGAGGACAGACCATGGATGATAGGACTTCAAGTACCTCCACTAACTTCCCAAGACTGCTGCAACCCTCATCTAATGAGTGATCAAGACCAAACTTGGCACACAGAGCCCCCATGACCCACTCTCCATCCTGGTGCAGTTTGGAGGAGGATGGACCACAGATGATGGTTCTTGCAGTACCTTCACTATCTTCCTGAGACCACTGCGAGCCATATAAATAACTGATAAAGACCAACCTTGATACATAATTCCTTTCTCAAATAACCTGGGCAGCGCCGGGTCCCCAAGCTAGTTAGTTATAAACTGATGTTCATTATTATTTGTGTCTTATTTCAATGGATCCTAGCCTTTGTTTCTCCAGAGGTTGTGGAAATACCAGCCTAATTAGCCAATGGACAGAGATTCTGGAAGCTAAAATTCTGAAGCACCAAAGGTTGGGAATCACTGCCTTAGTTGGTTCTTAACAATGGCTTGCTGGCTAGTAATATGTGTGTGTTTTTTTTCTTAACAGAGCCACCCACGTGGGTTACAAAACCAGAAAGTGGAGTTTTCAGTATTGGCGGAAGTTTTGTACGTGTATGTGAAGCTGTGGGCAATCCCGAGCCAACTATCAAGTGGAAAAGGAATGGTGTTCCTTTGACAGGTAATTAGAGGATGCAACTATGTAATGCAATACAGGAATGTTGATTGGCTATATACACGCAAAAAGTGGTGCTGATTGGAGTAATTTGACAAATTTTCCCCTTAAAGATTTAACTGTGCTCAATAGTCAATGTTATTTATTTCATGTCAGAAGCATTGCATAAATTAGTATAAAAGTGATAAAAATAGAAGGAGCACAAGTGGCTAAATGTCTTTTGACCAGAAACGGGCAACAGCAACCACATTGTCTATAGCCTCCAACAACTCTTCCTCTATACATGAGGCAGGACATTGTGGACAAGCATGCAGATACGGAGTTGTTTGTTTTGCTCCAAAATCTCACAAGGTGGAGGATTCTTTTAGGTAGTACCATTTTGCCAGGTTGTTTTTTGATCTGGCCACTCCACTTCTGAGTCTGCTCAGGGATTTCCAAATTGCCCATTCTTGAATTGCCCCTGGAGGCAGACCCTCATGGGGGGGGGGTTCCTGGTTTAACTGCCCAGTTGGGATTTCCTGGTTTAACTGCCCAGAGGGATACTTTTGCTCTTGCTGTGGAACATGAAGAGGAGTGGTTGTTCTCATGAAGCTTTCCTTTGATTTGAGTCTGCTGGGAAGAGGCTGATAGCCATGCAGTGAATGGTTTTCACAGTGTTCAACCTTATATATCTCACAGTTAGTAATAGTCAATGGAACTATTTCATTCCAATAAGAGTTGTGATTGTTTGATAATAGGTGACTTCCCTTCCTTTCTGTTCCTTTATGTTTTTCAGTTTGTATAAATATATTTGTAATATTTGTACTAATAAGGTTATCTCTTTAAATCAAACCAATAACCAATAAAATGAGATCTACATATCATTTTATTGTTGTATAATTTAGCAGTGAATTGGCCTTGTTACTTATAGAATGAAATAGGTTTAACTATAGCATGAAAAGAACTGAGAAATAATAATGCAATGTCCATATTCAGAGAACCTTTATATCCAGGATTTTACAATTTGAAATCTTGGATTTCAAGCTTGGGTTTCTGTAATATGCTCCCATCTGGTCTGGGTTTACAAAGTTTTTGGAAACTTCACCTCTTATAAAATGCTGACTAAGGAACATGTGCTTCTCTTTTTAAAGCACCACCGTTGACTATCAACATATTTCTCGGTAAAATTCAAAGTGTTGATTATGACCTATGAACTGCTGTGTGGCTTGGAATGGGCTATGTGAAAAATCATAGGAAGTTCATTTTCCAAGATATTTTCTAACTGTAGTTGTACAGTCAGTTTGCTGTTTTTATTTTTGCAGATTTGATTATTTGTGGATTTCTTTAATATGTTTTCTCTAGGACTCTCTAGGTCCTCCATCATCTATGGCCAGCTTCTCTCAGAGGTTGACAATTGAATTATGCTGTAGAACCTGGAAATGTCTAGACAGATGTCCTCTCAGAAAAAAAGCAGCTTTTTATTTTGAGTTTTTCCACTTTTGAACCAATCCTACACCCCTAGTGCCAGCAAATGTGGAGAGCTCTGTAAAGAAAAGGCAGGCTGTGTGTGTGTGTGTGTATTATAAGTGCATCATTAAAAAGAACATTTGTTGTGTTCATGTAAATAAATAGTGCTTCACCATTTTGCTTGCTTTTGTCATCTATAGAAACAAAAACCAGCAGGGCTGCTTTTTCAACAAGAGAGATCAGTATAACCGATCTGGTGTTGAATGACAGTGCAGTGTACCAGTGTGAGGCTACCAACAAGCATGGTACCATTCTTGCCACAGCAAATATTGATGTTCTCGGTAAGTTTTTACTAGGGATAGAAATGATGAGCTATTTCACCTTCACATGTATAATGAGACACCACACACATACACATACACACAAGCCTTGTTGTGTCAAAGGCATAGGAAAAAGATATAGATAAACAAAGATGAAGGGGATTTAAAGATTTTGCAAGAGATACTTGAGAAGTGTCACCTGATAAAGTACATGGAAATTTTTAGTTTAAACTTTGCAATTAACTGTAAATGGATAGATGACACAATTGAGGAGAGGGATTTAACTGATGTAGTTAAGAGAAGGAGAGGAACAAGGAAATTAGCAATTATTTCAAAATGATGAAGAAGATTTATCTGGAGAGAGCCTAAACTTCATTGCTTATGATTTGGAGGAGACTAAAATTAATAAGTGTGAAATGCATTGTAGGATGATCTGGGAAGAAAACGTTGACATTCTGTGGCTGATTTAAGTCTTTAGAAGGAAGAGAATACTATTGCAAAAAGGGCAAGACCAATAGACTTTTTTGAAATGGAAAGACCACTCAACTTTTTTGTGGTTTGTTTATCATTGTACAAGGAGAGTAATTGAGAGGGCTTAGCACAAAACCAGGGGTGGGGATTAAGGAAGGATTGGTTTCTCAAATTTAATATGTTAATTAATTGATGTTGACATAAACAGAACTGGTAAATGGATACAAATTTCAGAGTCACATATATATCCAAATAGTTTTGGAAGAGGGGAAATGAAAAATAATTTCTCTAAACAAGTTAATGATTTGCAACAAAAACGCAGGGAAGAATACAATTCTCCTTTATAGAAGATATGGAGGCACCACTGATGTTATAATATGATAGACTTATATAAAAGGAGAGAGCAAGAAGCAATTGCTTAGTGTAATAGATGTACCTAAGAGATAACATGATAGGAGATTTAGCAATAACAGTTGAAGGGTGTTAAATGAAGTTTGCTAACTTTCATAGGTCAACAGAAGAGTTTCTGTAAGATATATGATTACACATTTTTTGGTTTAGATTACTACCATTTGTACTTTATATAAAGGAGGTTGAATTTATTGTATATGGGAAGTGTCAAATACTTTATAGATTAATAGGAGTAAAACAATTGTTCAAAATATGTGAGTCATTTTTATAGGTCTAGTTCTTAATACTCCACTCCTTTTTTGACAATCCGTATATACCTTTTCAGAGATTCCTCCAGAAATCTTAACTCCAGATGGTGAAGAATATGTTGTGGCTGTGGGTTACCCAAGTCGCCTATACTGTCACTTTTTTGCAGTACCTCAACCTGATGTCTCTTGGTAAGCTTTATTCAATCCCTTCTTCTTCCTCATAGGCTGTTCTTGACATTTCACATCTGATTCTTCCTGACTGTGAACATGTAGCTGCATTTTAAGAAACCTGCATTGATTTCTTTTTTGAAAAAAATCTATCCAAAAGAAAGATACTGTCATAAGATGCCAATAAGATGGGCTTAAATATACTCATATTGTAAAGGTTTCAAAGCATTAGTGTGACAAGGTTAATGAAGCTGCTCGTTGTTTGTTAGCAATTGAAATGATAAAGTCCCAGGAGCTGGTGTTTCATTTCCTTTATCTTCAGGATGGCAAAGGTCAACAGAGCTTAGTTTGCTCAGAGGGTTTCCTTGATCAGGAGCAATTTAGATGGATTAATGAAAAGCAAATGTTAGTTTTTGAAAAGACACCAAAGCTCTCAAATCCCCTAAAGGCCCCTATGTCTGTCTTCAAGTGTACAAACCTTAGAGCTTAGCCTGGATTGTTTAACATTGCCAAGAATGATTGTGTCCTTCAACCTTCCATTCCATTGTTTTGGGATGTCCTAATGGGTATCCATTATTCTCCTCAATGTACCAAAGTTGTAACCCTAACCATAAACAATAACAGACTATTGAATTTGCCCCAATTGTTATCTGAAGCTTCAAGAAGCTGTCAAAAATGCTGAATCTATCTTTTTACGCCGTTGATTGTTTCTTTAAAGTTCACAGTAAAACACAGAACAGATTTCCTGGCTCACTGCAGTGGAGGCCACCTCTGATCCTGAATCATTGTTGCCTTGAGCTGGAACTGACAGTTTCAATTGCCAATCTGGTTTAGACATTTTCAGTAGCTGTGGTTTATTCAGTAGCTGTAGCCCTGAAGTGACTAGCGATGCTTATATTGTACTGAGGGTGGGAGGGCAGGTCATATGCCAAAGCTGAAACAGGCTCTTTCACTGGCACACATTGTGACTTGGCCTGGAGTACTCCAAACTAACTTCACATTGGCCTTTGGCCTCAATTCACAGAGGCCATCAAAGTGCAGCCTCACTCATAGCGTCATTCATACCATGGTCTCTGGTATGTAAACTGAACATAATATGAAGCGAAACATGTGAAACACAATTAAAGTGAGTGCTCTACTTTCATGACACAGCTGCTTGCAGCAGCAGAAAAAAAGAAAACCTTGCTATAGTGTAGAACTTGCAGATCATCCTAAATATTCTGATATGAATGCAAAAACAAATGTCAAAATGAAATCTTTACTGCTCTTAAAAATGACAGAGTGTTACTCTATACTTTTGTAAGTTTTACCTGTATTGTACTTGCTTTGAATTGTAGGTTGCCTTGAGTCCAAAGTTTGGGAAAAGCATGATATCAATGAAGGTGGTGGTGATAGTGATAACATGGTATCATATTACCCCGTCTCTTTATTTCAGGAAATACAGGAACAAAACCACTGAAATATATCTAGTCAGGTTTTGTCCATATATAAGTTAAGGTGGCTTTTTATTTCTAATGAACAGATATCCGTATTAATTTTATGCTATTTCCTTGCTTTCCTTTCAAAATCAGCAGTAAAGGTAAAACCTGGAGGTTCTGCTGTTACAAATTTCTCCAGCAACATGTGTGCAAATATGTTCTATGGAAATAACCCTTTTCCACTTCATTATTATTTTTAAATTATTTTATTTTATATTATTTTTAAATCATGGTGCTTCATAGACCTTGGATGTTATTGTATTTTGTTCCTCGTTAAATCCTTTTTTCTTCATTTTGCAACTGTATGTTTTAGGTTTCAATCTTCTTCTTTTATTACCACCCAGAGAACTTAGTGTTAATGCTCTTTTTTCAGGGAGCACTCAGCTTCTTTCTCCCTATCTTTCTCTTTCAAATTAATATGCTGATTACCACTTAAGGAGCCCATAATAACTTGAGTCTATCTAAAGGACAGAATCTTCCCATCTGATCTATGCTCCCATATAAGCCACCTGGACTTTGAAATGTTTGAGGAAGCTTTCTCCAGTAACCTGGAGTTCCTTTTCTAGCAAGGTTAGACTGGCCCCATCCTTATCCATGTTTATGATTACAGTGCAGTCCTGCACATGCAGAAGTACAAAAGAAAAACTTTCTGACTAGGAAGAACTTCCTAATAATAAAAGCTGTTTATGTTGGAATACACTACCTGGGAATGTGATGGCGTTTCTTTATAAGTGTTTAAACAGAGGCTGGATGACCATCTGTTAGGAGTGCTCTATGAAGCAAACTCTATTATTTTATGATTCTATGTAAGCATCATTGGATTTACCTGGCTTCTCCTTTCAAGAGCTTTTTGAATTCTGGAAATCTCCCTGTTTTTCAGAAAGAGAATTTAATGTGGTGCTGTACTACTCGTTTTTTTATTTATCAGTGGATGTTTTAAACTATCTTAAATAAATACACTAATTACATTTTTATGACAAATGTTCTTTATTTTGTCTATATTATATTTGCCTTGAGTATCACTTCCAAGGAAGATGATGCCAAGAGATAAAACAAACATACAAGCAATCCAAATTTATGAATTGTGATTCTGATTGCCTCACTAGGACTAAAGATGACAGCATGAAACGTCTTGATGCTGATCTGAATGGAACCCTGGAGATTAGAGAAACAAGAAAAGAAGATGCAGGGTTTTATACCTGTGTGGTGAAAAATATTGCTGGGAGACGTGCTCTCACAGCCACTCTAACTGTCAGAGGTAATTCTTACTATGAATTTACTTTAATATTAAATATTTGATGGCTTTAATACTAAAGATTTGAGGGACAGGCTATAGCACACCTGGTAAATCACTAGCAGCAGCAATAAGATCTACCAACTGAAAGGTTGCCAGTTTGAAGCCCAGGTCAGGGTGAGTACCTGACTGTCAACCCAGCTCATTGCTTACCTTAGCAGTTAGAAAACTGCTTAGAGCTGTAAGTAGAGAAATTAGGTACCGCTAAAAAGCGGGGGAGGTATTTTATGACATCATAAAAGAAAAAGAAAAAAACCAGAAAATGCCGGTGACCAAAAGGAAGGAAGAAGTCCTGATGGCTCTCCATCATAGAAGATGAAGCAACAGCATCCCCCTGTGGCTAGACTGGAGCACAACCTCCAAAGGTGCCGAAAGCTGGACATCAGCACAACACATCTCCTTTCTGTCCATTCTGTTCCGTCTGTCCAAACTGCTTTGAATGTTTGCCACGTATGTGTACTGTGATCCAGCCTGAGTCCCCTTGGGAAGATAGGTCAGAATATAAATAAAGTGTTGTTGTTGTTGTTGTTGTTGTTGTTATCTGCACCTAATGAGTTTGCAATGAGAAGTGAACACATAAGCTTATTGCTTATCATTGCCCACTTAATAGCACAAAGCATTGTTATGCTCACCCAGTTGTTCATAGTGTCATGATTTTACGTAATTTGAGGTGAAGAAGCTAAAATACTGACTGATTGTTCCACACTTCTCCTGTTCAAAAAGTTAGACATAATACTGATTATAATTACTGTTTTTTTAATTATGTTTCAGTTTTGGATTGAGTCACATTTCTCTTGGAAAGTTTTTTTTCCAAACCTATTGTTTATTTGGGACATATACCCACATCACCAAATGTGCAAATTCCATTGTGGACATATGATATTTGTTAACACTGAGCAAAATCTCCACATCAGTGTTGGAAGTTTTAAGGGGCAAAGACAACATGGATCTGTAACCATTTGTGATAGTCTCCTTGGCTACTGTTCTTAAGAAAGCTACAACAGTAATTTGATTTGATTAAAGCTGAGAGGAGTCAAGTTGACATGTCATAAAGAGTCCATCTACCTATTCCTATATAAAGTGAGCAATGCCTAACATATGTCTTACTAGATGGGTGTGCCATAACAATGTGATTCTGCAACTGCTGTGGGATCATAGTACAGATATTCTTTTCTTAGAATAGCTGTCATACTGTAAGGCAGAATAATACAGACAACCTGAGTACCATATTTTGGGTGTCACTAAAGAGAAGGGGGTTAATAATTATTGAATTACTACTTGTAGTATACTTTGCTTTCAGGAAAAGTAAGGGTCTCTAAGATGCCAAAATAAACTGGCTGCTTACAGAACTAGCCAGTTTATTTTGCAAAATAGCTTGTGTTGGTCTCCATTAAAATGCCAGTTAGAGCAGCTAAAATAACCATTTAGAAAAATATGAAATGAAAACAGGAGTTGGCTTCAGACTCACCTCAAATGACAATGTTGTGCCCTCCAGCATCAGGAGGGAATCAAAATGATGGTGCCATTCTCAAGTTCCCAGGCTTCTCCTTTCCAGCATTCCATGTGTGGTTTCATAGGCAATCAGAAAAGGGTTTATTATCTGTGAATAAGCTTTCTGCTTCAAAGTCTGATGGTTACACTCAGGTGTGCAATGATGAAAATAAACAAACTATCCCAATCAGTCTGTGTAGGCCTTCACCCTGTCCTCCCTTCACCTGTTTTTCAATAAAGCGTGTCACAATTTTTTATTTTTGGGTCTTCTTACAGGATTTGGTGGTAAAGGCAACGCAATTCATTTTCAGTTGAGAGACTCAATCCCACTCAAGTGACATTGGATTCACATAGAGTAGTGGTTCTCAACCTATGGGTCCCCAGATATTTGGCCCTCAGCTCCCAGAAATCCTAACAGCTGGTAAGCTGTCTGGAATTTCTGGGAGTTGTAGACCAAAACACCTGTGGACCCACATGTTGAGAACCACTGATTTAGAGACTCACCACTGGTGGCATCCCATGTCTGTCACTCCAGTGAATCACACACATGAGCTGGGGCTGAGAAGATCATTGCATGGCAGACAGTTGGCCAAAGCCTAGATCTAATCTAGCCTGGGCCAAGCTGGTTAAAGCTGTAATCAGTAAAAGTTATAGCAATTTTTTCCTCCAGAATTCTATGCATTTCTTTGCCAAAGCACACCTCTTGGCCTCTCTTCTGGGGGCAACTTAGTAGTTCTAAGGAAAAGTAGAAAACTTCCCCAGAAGACTCTATATATCTCAAAATCACAAATACCAGAATTTCACGGGAAGGAGTTACAATAATTAATGTGACAAAATACACCCTGAAAGTATTTTTATTTACATTTTATATCGCAAATGCATGACAGAAGTGTTTATACTTATCTTTATTGATTTATCAGATGATACCAAAATTTCAGTTGTACCCAAGAATCCACAAGTTTTGAAAGACCACCCAGTATTGTTAAGATGTCATTCAGAATATGATCCTCATTTGAAAGAGCACTTTCAGATTTCTTGGAGGAAGGACGGTGAGGAGCTTGGAAAGAATGACACTGACGAAGAGAGGTAATAAAAGATTATTACTCTTAATGGCCATTCCTTTTAATAACTAAGGATTGCTTTGAATAACCACGTGCCTGGTTTCTTTACAGGACACACATTGTTCTGGGATACAAAACAAGTTGTTCAGTTGTAGTTGTATTTTTGCTGAGCAAAATGAATTCATAATTCTTGTATAAAACATGCATATAAAATGTAGTCATGTTTCAGTATTCACACATTTTGGATTTTTTTAAAAAATATTTTTATTGAGTATTTACAAGAAAAAAGAAAAAAGGGAAAAAAGAAAAAAAGAAAATTTTAAAATTTTGGAATGTTTTGATATATTTTCTTGTAACTATGTACAAAACTGGGAAGATGATATACAGGTTCATGAAAATACATTATTTGGTGGGGAGTGTCTTATTTGCAACAAAATGTGCACTCTTGTGTTATTTAAAAAACACCAACATTGATGCAGAAATTAGTCTATAATCAAAAAGATGTCACACACACCCCAAATTTAGAAAATGAAGGCAGGTATGCTTGTCAATTATCACTTGACTAATTTAATAATAATGGCAACAGAAAAAAACTAATTTCTACTGAATAAAAAAATCCACCTAATGTAGTGTTATTGATACTGACTGGGAGCAACTTTTCCATATACCAAGTACATTTTTTCATCAACCTCATTGAAGATGCTAAGAATTAAAATTGGAACTTTTAAAAAGCAAATTAAGTATTTTGAAAAACGAACAGACTCATTTATACATGTAAAAGTATCACACAATAATATGTTATCCATGTAAAAACTAATACAGTTAGCTGGAAATGTTCACTGCATCATTAACACACAAGAATCTTTGATCTGCAGTGGTATTTAAGAGACACAATCCCTCGGTTATCCCTCTGTTGCATCTGATTCTCCTGGTGAAGAGAGGTTTATTTTCCTTCATAAAGTCAATAGAATCTTCTTTCTTGGTTTTATTAAAGTTCTGTACAAGTTCTTAATGCCTATCATTGGCAAGGGTGAAGGGAGAATTATAATTCCCTTCTCTCTCAATAGGATATTAAAGCAGATTATCTTGTCTGTAGACTCTCACAGTGTGTTTCAGAATTGTGCTAGAGTGACATCTAGTGGCTAGTGTGTTGTTCTAAAAATCCACAATCTGTTTTTGTATACAGGCCATCCTCAAGTTAAGAACAAGATAGGCTCTGTAGGTTTGTTCTTAAGTTGAATTTGTTTGTAAATCGGAATGGGTACAGTTTTTATGTATAACTCCAGCCATATACGTGTGTGTGTGTGTTCTGTATAACATAGGGAAAGGTTAACAGCTCTGTGGTATTTGTTTTACTGCCTATGCTCCTGTTCAGAAGATTTCACCTGACTTTCTGTCCCTGTGGTTATTGGATTTTGAAAAATCTGGCTTCTTATGGAAACAAAGAAATCCCCATGGGGAAAAGAAATCTTCAGATGGGAATAAAACAGTTGCTTAGAAAATGTGAGAGTGTGTGAAAATAAGGGCATACACTAGGCTTGTGCAATCTGGGTAAACCTTGATTGGTTTCAGTGTCCTGGATTTTGGTGGGTGCTCCAATCCATTTTTCAGAAGCTTCTGAATTCGGGATGACTAAACTCCATTTTTGATCCCGGAAGACAAAATATTTGTTTTCAATCCAGCCCATTGGCAGCAATGGTTGGGGGGAGGGGGCTTCCCAGTTTTAAGGCAAGGGCTTAAGAACCCCCCCTCCCTTCTGCTATTATTTCCCTTCTCTTAGAGGAGACTCAGGTTTAAGCTAAATGGGAACTGAACAAGATATAAAAGAAAAGAGGGAGAGATGCACCTGAATAGGACTGGACAGTCTTCTCCTTAGTCTAATGGTTCCAAAATTAATAATTATATTTCTTTCCTCTTTTTTGCTCTTTCCTGTTTTGAACAAAATGACCTGTTTGTGATGTTCTTTTAGCCACTAATCCAATCCAAGGAATTGGATCCCCTCTTTAAACATGATTAATTTATGTAAATGTAAACTATTTCTTCCTCTTTTCATTGGTAATCAGCACTAGCAATGACCTATCCAAAGGCTTAACATCTGCCAGGGCAGGGGAAGAATAAAAATGATATTAATAGGAGCATTATAGTCGTCCTGCTTGATGTAGGATCTTTGTTATAGTTAACATTCAGAAATCTTATTCATTTTAACTTTTGAGGCTGTGTCACAGAGTTTTAGAAGTTTCTGTATAGCTTATGGTCTATTACGCTCAGAAGGAAAGTTTAAACCCAAAGAAAAATAAAGGAAATGGTTAGATCGCCAACAACTGGAAACTGGTGTAATTCAGTTGGAGGCACTTATTTATTTATTTATTTACTTTGCTTATATACCGCTGTTCTCAGCCCAGGGGCGACTCACAGCAGTGTACAACATAGGAACAACAAAATTCAAGACATAGTATAAAAACAATTCTGGCCCCAGAGTGGCCGTTGGTGTTGGGGGAGGGGTGCTGATGTCACAGGGGACAAGATGGCAGTGTCCTCCCAGCTCCCCTTCTTTATTCTGGCCCCAGAATAATGTTCTTAAGGCTTGTGTATCAGGTCATGAATTTTGTCCTGGAATTTGGGGGCCACTGCAGTATTCACCAGATTCACTTCAACACTTTCCACTGGTTCAGAATAGTATTTTTTATTGAAACTCTACTAAGAATAATGGTTGCAGGATTTGCTTATCTCTGTGTTTATGTGAATGTTTGTAATCCGTTTGCTACATAAGATGTAACTTTAGCCCTTCTAATATAGAAAATGACTTGGTTATTGTGAGTTCGTTTCAGTGTGAAAACTTTCACATTGTGTAAGAGAGAGGGAGCACAGTAATCCCAATATGCTTGTTTTATCACTGTCTTATCATTTTGTATATCTTTTTATGTTTTTTTGTTAATAGAATAATTATGGAGGGGGACACATTGTTTATACAAAATGTGGAATTAGAAGATCAAGGAGTATACACATGTATAGGCAGTACATCATTGGACACTACAGCAGATGATTCTCGCATAACTGTCATGGGTAAGTGATTTTTATCTATTTCTTCACAAAATAAATCTCATTACTGATTTTAATCCTCAGGAAAATATGTTCTTAAGGCTTGTGTATCAGGTCATGAATTTTGTCCTGGAATTTGGGGGCCACTGCAGTATTCACCAGATTCACTTCAACACTTTCCACTGGTTCAGAATAGTATTTTTTATTGAACTCATTCTAACCTGCTTTGAATAATAGTCTAATTTGAACAGATGGTATAAACCTGTCTATATATGCAACATAATAAAATCCCATGGTGATAAAGCAGGTTCTGCCATCTCAAGTTACAAGTGAGGAAACGTGAGCACATTTTTAATTATCCTCTGTAAATAAAACAAAAATAAATCAGTGCAGGTAGAAAATTAAGAAAGCATGGAGAAAGTTTGGCTAGAAGCTTTCTCCTTGTAGTGCTCAGTTATTCCTTTCCCCCAACCCACTATCCCAGACTGGGAGAGCTGGATATTGTGAATCCTCATTTAGCACCATATCACTTTAAAATGCTAAAAATAATGGGATGCTTGTAAACCAAACTTCATCAGACTTTCTTGTTGCATCCCAATATTTTAGATGTTCCTGATTCTCCACAAAATCTCTACATCTCAGAAAAGCGGAACAGAAGTGTTAGGCTGTCGTGGAGTGCTGGAAGCACCAACAACAGTCCAATAAATGGTAAGAATAATTATGTCCTTGCTTCACTTTTATAAAGTGACAGCAGGTGATCAACATTAGAATAAACAAACTACCCTGAAAGCAGTGCTTAATGGGTTGTATTGTTGAAGGTTCTCTGCTGCTAATTTTCTTCTCTTCTAATCAGTCTGCTTCTTCCAGGAAAGCTACTTCCCTTAATTCACATGCATTGCTTGTTGCATTTTCTCTCCTTGTCTTCTTTTAGAATCTATTGTGGAGTTTGAAGAGAATCGATGGGAACCAAGAAGGTGGAGAGAATTAATCAGGGTCCCGGGGAATGATACTACAGCTGTCTTACCACTGGTCCCTTATGTAAATTACCAGTTCCGTGTGATATCCGTTAATGCTGTTGGGAGAAGTCAGCCTAGTGAAACATCAGAACGATATGAAACACCTCCAGCTGGTATTATTTATCTACTCTTTCCCTCTGTATTTTATTATGTTGTGTACAAGGAATAAGATATACCAGTGTACTAAAATCCTAGTATATAACAAAAATATTTGCTTTGATTGGACAGGGGAATTGTAGGCCTTGCATTCTAAATAATTTGCTAATCCCAAATAGAGCAGATGTATGAAAACAATTATTGAATATTTAATCTGTGTGTGCTTTAGGTGGGACTACCTAGTGTATTCCATTGTATTTTATAAAATGGAAGAAAGCTATGGTAGGATGCTATCTTCCATTAGGCATTCATTTGGTCACCATGTGAAAGAAGATGATCCAATAGTTTGATATTTAATCTGATTCAAGAGGGATCTTTTAATGGCCAGGATTTATAATGGAATGCCATACAGGAAAGAGAAATGGGGTGTGCTAAATTATTATCTGTAGTCAAGTTAATCCTTCCCAAGAATTTTCTTTCTACGTTGTTACAAATATACAGATTTTTAAAAACTGTGTGATGGTTCTTTATAGTAGCCACAGTATAACAGTGTGGGTTCATAACACATAGTGGCAAATCTATAATTGATCTATATTCAGTGGGAGTAGACAATCACATTGCTAACCTATGCACATACCACCCTCACCTTTAGAACTCGCCACAGGTAAAATAAGTCAAGAGGATAACATTTCAATTCCCTCCTTTCATTGAATGAAGCTGCAGACATAAAAAAAAGGGTCCCTGTTGCACGTCTTTGTTGCAGCCTCACTTGCTATCAGGAAGGGAAGGAGCTGATCAGAAGTTTTTAAAAAATGTCCTTCATTCAATCCAAACACGATGGGTTGTTTGGGGTGGAGCAGAAGCATTGGGCCAAAAGTTGTTACTTAAATATGCAAACCTAATCTAGGATTTTATGATGCTAAACATGAAGGCTTATATCAAATTGTTATTCCTAACTGGTTCAGAATCTAAATTGGGAAAAACATTATATATCAAATATTTGTATTTAGAAAAGAAAGTGCTCCAGTGGCATATGGCATAAAAATGGGAAACTGGAAAAATGAGAACTATAATATTCTCAATAAAGTCAATATATATAATTGAGTAGACTTCAAGGTGAGTCTGAGTGAAAAAATATATCATAAATTGATGCTTACAATTTAAATCTATTGTTCATAATAGAGAGGGAATTCCACAGGGCAGAAACTAAAACACAAAATGAATGACCAAGAGACAGTTATGTAGATCTCTCAAAAATATTTGTCCTGGAAACTGGTAGGATTAAGACAGAGAGCCAGACATAGAAAAAAATGAATATAATGAAAATGAATATTATATGATGTCAGTCATTCAGTAGTGGTAGTGGGTTCCAGAGACATCCTGACACTGCTCACTGATGGATGGCTTCTATAGCCCATTATGTTCATTCTTCTTCAAAGTAACCCTCCAAACAATGTCCATAAGGTGAGGTCACCTGAGTTTTATATACCAATAGCAAACCATGTATATATTCACACTGCACACTAATAAGAAGAGTATGGTTCTGCTTTAGCTACCATGGCACATCCTGTAGAATCCAGGAATTTTGCACTTGTTGAGGTTCATAGAAGCACTGTTCTTTATTAAAGCTCTTTGTCAGAAACCATAAGTACCTCATAAAGTTACAAATTCTAGGATTCTGTTGGGTGGAACCATGGTAGTTCCTGATGAATAGCAATGAGGAATAAAATAAGGAAGATTGAATTTTGGAAGTGGTCCTGACCTAATGAAGTGAAAGTAAAAATGCATGTGTTCCCTTAATGTCAGTTTCTACTGATCCACTAAATTGAACTCCTTGATCTGGGGTGGCCTATGCCTCAGTGCAATACATGTTAACCTTCCCAAATCAGTCAGAGTTCCTACAAACATTAATGTCATTTTCTCTTACTTTGTGTAGAAATAATTTCTGGATGGGACATTTAAAAAGATTTATAGTGAATCTTGTATCAGTATAGGACTTTATGAAATGTCTGTTCACAGTCAATTTCTCTTGATATAACATGAGCTAACTAGCTCCTAAAATTATTTTTTATCAAACATCTGTTCTGCAAGATTTGTTCATTTATATATTTCTAACATTTTAAAATGTTGCTTCTGTGCTGTCCCCAGCTATCCAGTTCCATGCCTCATTCTAATGATATACCTTCTGTTTCCCTAATCCCATAGGGCAATCTCTTTAAGACAATCCCATTAGCATCTGGTACTTTGTAAAACTACCATTTTACTTCTATCCAATCATTGTGACCAAAATGACTGAAACCTTACTATTTGCATGCTTTTGTTAATCGTGCCTTTAATAAGTCACCACTCAATCATTTTATCTGAGGTTGTTCTGGATTGTACCTATCTGGTGACCATAATCAATACCATGGGATGTCATTTCTTGATACCATCTCCATAGATTTTTGGACTATAGCTTGCATAATCCTTTGTCATTTCTCACATTGGATGAAGCTGGTAAGAGCTGTAGATCATGACACTTGATGTTTTAAGGTAGTAACACTATCTACTCCTTTTGATTAATGTACAATTAACATTACTGAGAAATACTAATAATTAGGGGACAGTTAATTGAATACTGATCAAATGAAGTAAAGTTAAAGCATATAAGTTAAAGCAAGTCACTTTGGGGAGATGGTGGCGGTGTATAAGAATAAAGTTATTATTATCATTATGGAGAGAAAATGATTGCTCAGTTAAATGACTCACATTGTTGTTCTTGTTTTGTTCATGCGTAGCTCCAGATAAGAACCCAGAAAACATCAGAGTTGAAACTTCCAAACCACATGAGATGAATATGACTTGGGAGGTAATGCTTTGTTTTAATATTATGCTCAAAATTATTGTGATCTGCAGACACATACTTTTGAAATGAGCTACACAGCAAGGGGTTGGACTTGATGGCCCACATGGACTAACATGGACTAACATTACAGTTTTGCACTGTAATGCTGCCTTTATTAATGTTCATATCTTTTTATAAATCAAAACAATTAAACTATCTGTTCAGGTCTCCAGATAAAATAAATATTGCTGTTGATTGCTGTTTTGGGGCTTGTCTACATGAGCTCAAAAACCTAGAGTGAAACAGAAGTCACTCCTGGATGTCTTCATGACATCCAGGGATTTCCTATTCTTCATGTGGGGTAAACTGGAATAATCCAGTCTATCCCCATACTAAGGAAAGCTGGGGGATGTTCTGGAGTTGGACCATGCCTGCATGTCTGGGACAGAGTGGACAGCAGATTGGCTATGATGAAAACCCATCTGTTGCCCACATTTGCTGGTGTTGCCACCTTCTTTTCCCTGTGCAAGAAAAAAAGGGAAAAAAGGGAAATTGCTCCTTCCTTCTCCCTGGCCATGTTTGCACAATTGCCTATAGTCGGGGGGGGGGGGGGGGGGGTGGAATGGCCAGGAGTTCTCCATGACAGGGACATGAAAGTTAAGATAACAACTGGACTCAATCATTTTTACCCCAGCAGCAGGACAATGTAAACTTGTTGCCACAGCTGCCATGGGTCAGGGAATAGAGTGTGTAAAACCTCTAGAGCATTGGTTCTCAACCTGTGGGTCCCCAGATGTTTTGGCCTTCAACGCCCAGAAATCCTAACAGCTGGTAAACTGGCTGGGATTTCTGGGAGTGATAGGCCAAAACACCTGGGGACCCACAAGTTGAAAACCATTGCTCTAGAGTGCACTCTGGATTGGCCCTTGAATAATTACTAGGTGTGGACAAATCCTTTGCTGCTGGAGGTTTCATTTAAAAGAAATAATAACCATTCAACATGTACAGTATGTACTCCTGGTACAATCAGTGGCAGTTCTCAGCACCTCCAGTAACATTTGATTCCTATTCACACTATATGCAGATACTCAGTTGGCATCAAATGACATCATGGTCCAGTATTTGCTGTGAAAGCTCTCATTTCTTTGTATTAGAGTGGAAGAGCCCTGTAACATCTAAATAAACTGGTTGAAACTTATCAAATCCCTCTCCATGTATTTATGTATGCATTAATGTTGTTTACCACAATGAAATCATAACAGCAGTTATTACTTATATCATCATAACATGATGGCACATGGTAATTGAGAAGTAAATAAAAGTAGCACAATACCTTGCCCTGAAGGATCTTTCAAAGTCCGTTTTGAAAGAATAAATGGTCAAAGAGAAAAGGAAAGGCAGAAACAAGTTGATGCCTATTGTTGCTGTTTAAATGGGTCCTAGCTAGAAGAATGCTTCTAACTATTCGTAAAAATAATGTGATCCATTATCCATTTAGTTGAACATGTTTTTTTTGTTGTTTGTTCTGAATGTTTAATACTCCACAGAATAGTTATATGGTTTAATGGCCAATCTGTCGTGAAACATTTTTTAAAAATCTGCCGTACTACAACCACAATAAAGGTAACAGACTTCCCTGTGAGTTGGTTTTTCTGGGGGAAAACTGAAGCAAACTTATTACAAATTAAATGTTAATGTCTTCAACATAAAATAATATCATTTAATAATCTATATGCTTTCCATCCATCTGTTTCTTCTCTTACATGCCTTTTAAAGGCCACAATATGATTTCCCCGAGTTATCTTAAATTTACCTTTGCAGTATAGCTTTTTTTTCCTCCCTTGAAAAATTGCAACTGATTGTTGATAGCACTGTTTTCCCTCTAAATGCAGCATTTTGATTTATTTAGGTTTTTTTATTGCAACAATGTAGCTCGATTCATGTTTCATTTCATTTGCAGCCATTAAAACCTATGGAGCACAATGGACCTGGGCTGGAATATAAAGTGAACTGGCGGCAGCAGGATGTTGCTGAGTGGGAGGAAGAAACAGTGCAAAAACATTTCTTGGTGCTTCAGAACACTCCTACTTTTGTACCTTATGATATCAAAGTCCAAGCAATGAACAACTTGGGGTCTGGCCCTGAACCTGATGTAATAACTGGCTACTCAAGTGAAGACAGTAAGTAACAGGAAAATATCTGCATGTAAGCTTGAACTAAATACACACATTGTACCCCATAGCATCTTAACCACATGGAAGGTGATCTGAGTGTGCAAGGTACAGATCAGAGACTATATAATTGAATCAAAACAAGAATTTATTAACTGACAAGAATTTTAAGACTTTCTCTCCTACTGAGTCCCAGAGGGGCCCAGAGGGGCCAAAGGGGAGCAGGGGACAGAAGGGAAATATTGTGGGAAGGGTAAACACACACCCCCAATGGTAGGGAACACAACATGATAATTCCCTATGCTGCCCCACGATTTTCCCTACTGTCCCCTGCTTAACAAAATGCCATCTGAAGATGCCAGCCACAGACACACATGAAACATCAGAAGAAAATGCTGCTAGAACAAGGCCATACTGCCTGAAAATCACGCAGCATCCCAAAGTGTGATCTGATGAGGTCCATAGTCAGTTCTTACTTTTATTGCCACCTGCTTCATCTTCTCCCAGTCTCCTCTGCCACCTCCTCTTATTCTCTGTTCCCTCATCCCATTACTATTCAATGAAATAACTTCAGTGGTAGCATGTGCTGATATTCATAAATAAACAAACAGCTTTGGAAGCATAGTAATACAAAACCAGCTGCCTTTTATTCCTAAATGGCATTTCCTTTCCAAATTGTACATTAACATCCACATGCTGCCTCAGTTAAGCTTTGAGAAGTGTGTGCATGTGTGGTGTGTTTCATTCAAATTTTAAAACATCTGATATACATCTCCACACATATACGCCACATTCCCATCAGTATCATTGTGTTCACACTTTATGTGCACAAAATATCCCTTTGTTTTTTTAGCATTCTAAGTTATATGCAACATCATTGCTTTATTCTGTGATAGCTGCATCTCCCTTCCTCCTCTCCCATTATAACCTCCATTGCGATAAACTATGGTGGATTTTAATATAAGTGTGCAGGAAGTCATAACTGTAATAAAATGACTACAACTATATGGCCATAACATAAAGCAATTGCTTCTTTTGTAAAACATGGAGCATTGGAAGCTCCTGCTTCCCTGTAGTGAAAAGTGAGGGAGAATTTCTCCAAAATCCCTTCTACTGCTAGGTTGCAGTTTTTACTTCTCTTATCTTGTTTAGACATGGATATGCATGTGCATGCACAGACAAACAGGAGATAATATAAGCCCCCTGTTGCAGTGGTAGAAATCGCATTTGTCTGCAAGCAGCACATTTAAAAAATACCTCCCCAATAGCTTTTAAGGATTTAAAGATTAAGATTACTAAAATGAGAAACCCCACTGTAACCATTTACAAGGGGGGACTGGAAAGTCCTTGATCTGAATGGAATATGCACAGTACATTAGCATTTAACAGCAGGAGATGAAGACTGGGGCAGCAAAAGGTTTGCCAAATTGTTTAAAATTGTATATATTCACAGTTTTGCAGAGGAAACTTATTTAGTTCAGCAACTTGGCAAGCTCTTTACAATGTTATTATGCTTCCAGGGTGGGCAGCCTCTGGAAGGCTCACAGTATGGCATTGCATTTCTGAGGCAATTTTTTTTGTAGTCATCAGGTTCTTCTTGAAATCTGATAATCTAAACTTTCACAAAAGAAAACAGACCTAACTCTCATGACAATAGAACACTGTTGACATTGAATAAATGTTAAGGATAGGTAGGAATAATGTCTAAGGAGTCAGGTGAAATTCATGCCAGATTTTAGAGAAATACATGGCTAAGCTAAGAATGTTGGGGCTGAATTTCTCCTCTTCCAAAGTGCACCACTTCCTTTGCCATTTTTACAGATGCGTGAAACAAAAATTGGAGATCTTCAGAGGAGGGCCAGGCCCCTTCTACACTGCCATATAATCCAGATTATCAAAGCAGATAATCCACATTATCTCCTTTAAACTGGATTATATGAGTCTATATTCCCATATAATCCAGTTCAAAGCAGATCTAGAAGGAGCCCCTGTTGCATATCCTTACACTTTGTGAAGTTGGGTAAGAGTTTTTTTTTCCTGTGGACATCCTAAGAAAGTTAGTTTGACCAGGTCTCTTTTAAACTTCCATCTTCCAGCAAATATTGAATGGCATTTCAGTGTTTGAAACTGCTGTTTTAACTTTTTCAAAACTGAATTCTAGGATTGCTTTTCAGTCTATTTCCAGATATTTTGAAGAGTATTTCAGTGTTTTAAAAATATTGTTTAGCTTTGTATTAATTGGTCTTCATTTGTTCATCACCTTGGAAGTTCCTATGGGCTGGGATCTGATAAAGAAATACTTTAAATAATAGTCAGATTAGATATGTAGACTTTCCTGTGGCACACAATAATATGCTGTTAATATGATGCAATGCATATGTAATGCAGTAGCTGGCATCTGTTGGACAGCTCAGAGAAAACTGTCTCCTTCTGTTGTTTTCACTACTGTTTTCATCTTATCACAATTGCTATTACTGCTCCCATTAAACTAACCAATGTAGACAGGATTAATCTGTTATTTTAAACCCACCATGCATGTGAAAATTATTTCAAAACTCAGTGTGCTCAATGTAACAAATACAAATCCTACCCCCTATTCTTTTTTCCAGTTCCAGAAGCAGCTCCTTCTGATGTAATTGTGCAAGTCATCAATAGTACTTTAGCTAAAGCTATCTGGTCTACAATTCCAAAGGACAGAGTTCGTGGACACCTCAAAGGCTATAAGGTGTTTATTATTGTACTCCTTTATTAATCTTCATGCAGGTAATTTTGTGAGATACTTATGGGTCACAGGTGTGCCTGATCTCAAAAAGTTCAATCCTCCTTCCTACTATAGGTCAACTGGTGGAAAATACGAAGTCGCTTGGGTGAAAAAAGCCATCGCCTGGACAAACGGACCTTGCTGTTTAATGCAGATCGACACGACGGAATGATTCCTGGTCTAGATCCATTCAGTGAATACCGTTTAACTGTTTCTGCGTATAATTCCAAAGGGACTGGACCAGAAAGCCTCACATATGAATTCCAAACTCCAGAGGGAGGTAAAGAACAAGGAAACTTGGGAAGTCAAAGGAAACAGTAGCTAACTGCAGTTATCTCACTGCAGCTGTGTGTTATGTGCTAGTTAGCAGGTGGCAGGTAAAAAGAATGCCAGGAAGGGGAGCAAGTGGGTGGGAAGCCCCCCCCCCCCATAATTGGGAGCCTCAAACTAAAAGCATCCCTCCCAATCTCCGCAATAAAAGCTGGGAGACAAAACAAGGCACGGTTTACACCAAAAGTAGAAACCTAATCCATAGTTCTTGCAAGTGCAAACGTCCAAATGTTTGAGAATCCAGGTCAGGGGTCAGGGGTAAACCTGTCCAGAGGGTGTTGTGTGCATTGTTGGTTGAGCCCAGTTGAGCCCAGTTGAATGATGCTGTATTCTTATTCAATCAACTGGGATGAACAAATATAAAGAAAATTACATTTTACATGCCTTTTTCTGTTTTACAGTCCCTGAAAAACCACACTTCCTAAAGATATTAAATTTTGATAAAGATTCAGTAACATTGTCATGGGGACCACCTAAGAAACCAAATGGTATCATCACTGGATACATTTTGCAGTACCAGATGAGTAAGTATAGCTATGCCTTTCAAAAGAGGATGAAAGGATGTGTTGATTCTAAGATGTCCGGGCCTGAGTTTGTAGATTTCCTAAAGGATTTCCTAGGTTTCGCACTTTTTCCTTGTTTGTGCTGATTTTTAAAAAAAGATCTAAGGGACTGAAGATTTGAAATGGTAATTTATGTGAATCAGCCATTACATTGTAACCTTCAGGTCTATGCACAAAATATTTGGTCTCAACTTATTCTCATCAGAGAGTTATTCATGACTGTGTCTGTCTGTATATAACAAAAGAATAATAAATTGATGCATTTTCTTTTCTTTTTTTAAGACAAGGGGGATTTTACTGTCTCTTTGCACAATCTGTAAACATTCACAAGATCTATTTGCTTAACCAGAAATATTGGCTTTCCCCCACTTACCAGTTTGACATTGTATGAATAAAAAAAGACAATTTTGTTTTATTAGTTTTTACAAATTTAATTTACATGTTACTGATCGTAGGAATGATACAGTGGCATAAAACACATAAACTATACTAAAAAGGATGACATTGGTTATAGTATAGTTGGTGATGACTTGAAATATTAAACCTTCCAATCAGGTATATAATTATATCAAAACTACTGCTACTGAAATTGTTACTCCATGGACCACTGCTGGTCTGTGAGCTACTAGTTACTAATCCATGGCACATTTCCAAGAAAGAAAGAAGCAATTATATTCAATGGACACAAATGAGGAACCTTTGCTGTAGCATTAAGGGGAAGGAAGTGTTAGACCCATAGATTACATGACCTAAGAAGCAGCGGATTAGAGGTGTGGTCTTCAGGAAGGAAAGCATAATAGATAATTGAGGATTTGAATTTATTTGAGTTTCTTTAAAAAACAAACATTTTAGGCTTTAAATCCCTGTGGTTTTTAGAACTGCACTCTCTCATACAACTACATAAAATAAGATTTATTTGTTCGGTTGCTTCCGACTCTTGGTAACCTCATGGACCAACCCATGCCATAGCTCCCTGTTGGCAATGGCCAACACAACTTGGCCAACACCCATGCCATAGCTCCCTGTTGGCAATGGCCAACACAACTTCCGGTTAAGATGGCGACATGCTAGCAGCTAACCTCCCGTCCGGGTAAGGCGATAGCTTGGTATCCGAGCTCAATCTGATCCATCCACCCCTATTCCGAGCCCCTTTCATCGGCTCCTGAACCGGCTTCTCCTCAGGACCCCGAAGGGGGGCCTGGGGGGGGCAAATTGGAAGGAACCAGGGAGAAGGGAGAGGAAGAAGGTAGAGCGAAGGCCGCCGCCATCATTTGGCCTGCACGCTCCCTTCAAATTTGCTTGCTCGGCCTGGCTTAGCACACCTACCTCGCCAATTACCATCCCGCTGAGGCGATTCCGGAGGGAAGCTGGAGGGAAGCAGGGACGGCCGTCCCTTGGAGTGGAGTTGGCAACTCGCGGGTTGAGCCGTAAGCTCCTGACTCGACCGCGGCTGGAGTTGCAATCCTAGGCCAGCCGGAGTGGTGACCCGGGCCAGCGGAGGCGGACCGAGGGACTGCCGGGGCTAGAAAGAACTATTGGGGCTGTTGCCGGCCGTTCTGGGCGCAGCAGTGCTGCAGTGCTGGGGTGGCTTGGCTCACAGACGGCAGCGTTTTCCATCTGGCGCTGCCTGCCTGCACCCCCGGCGTGACTTCGCTCCAGTCCTGTCGTAGCCTCCCGTGCTCCATCGAGGCTCTCTAGCCGGACTTTTCTGACCGGAGGCTTTCTGGCTGGGCCTTCCTGGCTGGTTCCCCGGCGTATTCATTCCACCATTGGAGGGTCCAGCGGTGACTCAGCATTTCCAGGGAGCCGCGAGCCGGTTTGTGATCTTCCGCACCCTTAGGTGGCGCTGTCTCGGCGGGCCATTCTCCTAAGATCTCTCTCCGCGGTCCATCTTTGGCGGAGTTTCCGGGATCGGCAGGATCTGCTGCGCCGGCGCGTGGCTGGGGGACATCCTGGCGCCGCATCCTGGCGCCGCAACGCGACAGTGCCCGCACCTAACCCAGCAGTGTCATAGCTGCTGCTACAGAACTGTTGTCGACCATCGGAGCAAATTCGATCTTTTATTGCCATCTTCATCCGCCTTGCTCCAGAAGAACTGAACATCAGACTATTAACTCATTATTAGATCCCGAAGCCGTGTGGCTTTTGGTCCAATTTCTCCTTGTTAGGATTACAACGGCCGTCAGTTGGGAGGTCTCTACATTTATATCTAGGAATTGGTTGTAATAACAAACTGAGAACTGAGAACTGGAAACAACCTTTATTGCTGCTACTTAGTTACCATAGGAATAGAGCCACCTACCCAACGCTGCTAATTTTTCCATCCATTGCACTCACCCATTGAGCCACTTTAGAACTGTGCACTTTAAAACTGTTGCACTTTAACCCTACTGTTGCACTTTAACCCTATTGCTCCATTCTATTGCACTTTAATTACCAAGCACTTAACAACTTAAAACGTTAACATCTGTACTTATTGCCTGCAGCCTATTGCCTGCTATTCTTGATCACCCATGTCGCCCCTCAAATTGTGGTATTTGCTAATAATATTGCTAGCAAACGGGGGAGGGGAAAGAGGGGGGAGTAGGTGGGGAGATCCCAGAAACAACATTGCAGGATTAGGGAACAGTTGGAAGGAATTAGGGCGGCATTGCAGCAGTACAGGATTAGGGAACAATTGGAAGGAATCAGGGCGGCAGCAGGGGAAGACAACGAAGGAAACACCCTGGAGGGAATCATGGGATGAGGCTGCAATTTTGAAATACAATATGGATGAAGAGGAGCATTCCATTGGCCGGGGGGCCCCTATAGAGGTCCTGACGGGGAGGGGAAGATGCGGGAAAGGGAGACCTTCAATTTGGCGACCAATTCGACCATCAATTCGGCTCAAAAGTAGTAGTGAATCAAAGATTCGAATTCGGCCCAGGAGGAGAAAAAGAAACCAAAACAATTTAATAAAATGTACCCGGTCTCCTGACAGGTTAAATGGGTGTAACCAGGCTAGCGGTCCCTCCGGGTTGAAGATGGTGCTGCTGAACGCCAGATCTGTCAACGGCAAAACATCTTTCATCCAGGATTTAATCCTGGAGGAGCGGGCAGATCTGGCGTGCATTACGGAGACCTGGTTGGACGAAGCTGGAGGAGTTAATTTAACCCAGCTTTGCCCACCAGGGTTCTCCGTACAGCACCAATCTAGACCTGGAGGGCGGGGAGGCGGAGTAGCGGTAGTCTATAAAAATTCTATCCCTCTGACCAGAGGCCCCATCCTGCAGTCAACCAATTTTGAATGTGTCCACTTGAGGGTGGGAGACCGGGACAGAATAGGGATTCTGTTAGTGTACCGCCCACCTCACTGCACTACAGTCTCCCTACCTGAGCTAGCAGGGGTAGTCTCGAGCCTGTCATTGGAGTCCCAACGGCTTCTTGTGCTGGGGGACTTCAATATACACGCCGAGACTGCCCTAGTGGGAGCGGCTCAGGACTTCATGTCTTCCATGGCAACCATGGGGCTGTCCCAACAAATAACTGGCCCCACCCACAGTGCTGGGCACACACTAGATTTGGTCTTCTGTCAAGGATGGGAGCAAGGTGGCGGGGTTGAGGAGTTATCCATCTCTCCGTTGCCATGGACCGACCACCATCTGGTCAGCTTTAGACTTACCGCACCTCCTAACCTCTGCAGAGGTGGGGGACCCATTAAGTTGGTCCGCCCCAGGAGGCTTATGGATCCGAATGGATTCCTGACGGCTCTTGGGGAGTTTCCCGCTGCCTCGGTTGGTGATTCTGTTGATGCCCTGGTGACTCTCTGGAATGGGGAGATGACCAGGGCAATAGACACGATCGCTCCGGAACGTCCCCTCTCAAGTAGCCGAGCTAAACCAGCTCCTTGGTTCACCGAGGAGCTGGCAGCAATGAAGCGAAAAAAGAGGAGACTAGAGCGTGTGTGGCGCTCGGATCCGAGCGAGTCAAACCGAACACGGTTTATTGCCCTACTAAGGGCATATGCCGTGGCAATAAAGGCAGCAAAGAAAGCTTTCTTTGCGGCCAATATTGCGTCCGCAAAGAACCGTCCGGCTGAGTTGTTTCGAGTTGTCAGAGGCCTGTTGAAGCCCACCATCCCGGTTGGGAGCCCTGACAACTCGACGGCCCGCTGTGAAGCATTTGCTCGGTTCTTTGCGGACAAAGTCGCTTCGATCCGTTCAGGTCTGGACACCATGTTAACGGCAGTCTCTGAGGATGTGACGAGAACACCTGTCTGTCCGATTTTGATGGATTCGTTTCAATTTGTGAAACCTGAGGATGTGGACGAGGTGCTTGGAGGGATGAGAGCAACCACATGCATCCTAGACCCCTGCCCATCCTGGCTTCTAAAGGAGGCCAGAGGGGGATTGGCCAAGTGGGTGAAGGTGGTGGTTAATGCCTCCCTTCGGGAAGGCAAAATTCCAGCCAGCTTAAAGCAAGCTGTGATAAAACCGCTGTTGAAAAAACCATCACTGGACCCCACTCAATTCGTCAACTATCGGCCTGTTTCCAATCTCCCCTTCTTGGGCAAAGTCCTGGAACGTGTGGTTGCCTCACAACTCCAAGCATTCTTGGTAGACACTGATTATCTGGATCCGGCACAGTCTGGCTTTAGGCCGGGGCATGGTACCGAGACAGCCTTGGTCGCCTTAGTGGATGATCTGCCCCGGCTCGACAGGGGGAGTGTGTCCCTGTTGGTTCTGCTGGACCTCTCAGCGGCCTTCGATACCGTCGACCACGGTATCCTTCTGGGACGCCTTGCGGGAATGGGCCTGGGAGGCACTGTTTTACAGTGGCTCAGGTCCTTCCTAGAGGATCGTACCCAGAAGGTGTTGCTGGGGGACACCTGCTCGTCCTCACAACCATTGATTTGTGGGGTCCCGCAGGGTTCAATATTGTCCCCCATGTTATTTAACATCTACATGAAGCCGCTGGGAGAGATCATCCGGAGTTTCGGGGTGCGGTGTTATCTGTACGCAGATGACGTCCAACTCTGTCACTCCTTTCCACCTTCTACTAAGGAGGCTGTCCAGGTCCTGAACCGGTGCTTGGCTGCTGTGTCGGACTGGATGAGGGTGAACAAATTGAAACTCAATCCAGACAAGACAGAGGTACTCCTGGTCAGTCGGAAGGCCGAACAGGGTATAGGGTTACAGCCTGTGTTGGACGGGGTCGCACTCCCCCTGAAGACACAGGTTCGCAGCTTGGGTGTGACTCTGGATTCTTTGCTAAGCTTGGAACCCCAAGTTTCAGCGGTTTCCAGAGGAGCATTTGCACAGCTTCGGCTCGTGCGCCAGCTGCGCCCGTATCTTGGGGCCGGACTTGGCCACGGTAGTCCACGCTCTTGTCACATCCCGTATAGACTACTGCAACGCGCTCTACGTGGGGTTGCCCTTGAAGACTGCCCGGAAGCTTCAGATGGTCCAGCGCTCGGCAGCCAGGTTGCTAACGGGAGCGGCTCTCAGGGAGCACACCCCCCCCCTGCTGAGCCAGCTCCACTGGCTGCCAATCTGCTACCGGGCACAATTCAAGGTGCTGGCTTTAGCCTATAAAGCCCTACACGGTTCCGGCCCCACTTACCTCTCCGAACGCATCTCCACCTATGAACCGGTAAGGACGTTAAGATCGTCCGGGGAGGCCCTGCTCTCGGTTCCGCCGGCGTCACAAGTGCGATTGGCGGGGACGAGAGACAGGGCCTTCTCGGTAGTGGCCCCTCGGCTATGGAATGCGCTACCAGGGGACATCAGGCAGGCCCCTTCGTTACTGGTGTTTCGGAGGAGGGTTAAGACGTGGCTCTATGAGCAGGCATTTGGATAACTATGTGATGACAACCAACTTATTGACGGCATTGAACAAGGAATGAAAAAGGATTATGAGAACGGGATCTGATTCTAAGTGAGGCGTTGATGATTATGTGTGTTGTTTGTGTATGTGTGTCCGATATATTGTTCAGTGTTGCTTTTTATTGTAAACCGCATTGAGTCGCCGCCTCAGGCTGATAAATGCGGTATACAAATGGAGTAAATAAAATAAATAAATAAACCCCAGCTCCTTCAAAGTCAAACCAGTCACTTCAAGGATGCCATCCATTTTGCTCTCTGTCTGCCCCTCTTCCTTTTTCCTTCCATTTTCCCAAGCATCATTCTCTTCTCCAAGTTTTCCTGTCTTCTCATAATGAGGTCAAAGTACTTCAGATTTGCCTCTAATACGAGTTGGATAGGTTCATTTGGAAGAGCCTAAAAGTTGCAAAAAAAAACTTCCAACTTTTTACTTCTGAAGCAGTTTTGAACCATGCAGGAAAGGTGAGAGGGGCAAATCCGTATTTATTTATTTATTTGATGTACTTATTAACCGCCATTCTCAGCCCTTACGGGCGACTCATGGCGGTGTACAGTACACATAAAAGACAGGTTACAAAAGCCAATATCCACAACACAAACTATACAACAAGTACAAACTACATAAAAATCCGCTTCGTCTCTTAGTAGAATCATAGACCAGTCTCATCATCCTTATACCATTCCAATTCTCATTACCGTAATGTTGTTGCTAGCACTTAATTAAATGCCCTCTCGAACAGCCAGGTCTTAAGGCTTTTTCGAAAGGACATGAGGGAGGGCGCCTGTCTAATGTGTGCCGGGAGAGTGTTCCACAGCCGGGGGGCCACCACCGAGAAGGCCCTCTCCCTCGTCCCCGCCAGCCGTGCCTGTGATGCCGGCGGGATCGAGAGAAGGGCCTCCCCAGACGATCTCAAGGTCCTCGTGGGCTCGTAGGCCAAGATGCGGTCAGCAAGGTATTTTGGGCCGGAACCGTTTAGGGCTTTGAAGGCCAAAACCAGCACCTTGAATTGGGTCCGGTAGCAAATCGGCAGCCAGTGGAGCTGGGACAACAAGGGCGTTGTGTGCTCCCTGCCACCCGCTCCAGTTAGTAACATGGCTGCCGCACGCTGGACCAGCTGAAGCTTCCGTGCCGTCTTCAAGGGCAGCCCCACGTAGAGAGCGTTGCAGTAATCCAGGCGGGATGTGACAAGAGCGTATGTGACAAGTATTTGAACCACTTACCTTTTTGGGGGGGAAATATTCCATAATGTTCAGATATCTCCCAATGTTATTTTAATTTTTACAATCATTAAGCAACTTTGGTAAAACCTAAAAAGTTTTACAATTTCATGCTTTCCATCAGCGAGGAAAGGAGGGATAAAGTGGGTGTGGGTAAGCGCAGCCATTGTTATAGTTTGTGAAGGCTAAGCCACCAATGGTAGAGATTGCAAAAGGCCCTGCTGTTAAACTACATTTCCCACACTGCCTTAATGCTCATTAGCCAAAATGGCCGAAGGACCCCTATAGCTTAATAGCTGTCTGTAGCAGTCTTCGTCTAAATATAAAATAAACTGATTGAATCAATCTACAAAGGTGTCTAAAGAGAAGGCCGAAAAGCAATAAGCAACACAAACTCTTGTTTTTTCTGTCATCCTTGCAATAAAGATATGTGTCCACCACAAAAGGGGAACCTCCATGAATCCCCACACCTTTGTTTTTGGCAAAATGTGTGCCTTGACTCCCCATGCCCTGTTTGCCATTATTTGCCACAATTTGCCACGAGTTTTCCTTTTTGCCATTTTTCCCTGACAGGGATCAAACTTGCAACCTCCCGGTGCTGGAGCGGTGCACTCTCTCAGGGAGCCACCAACTACTCTGTGACAATAGGGATTCAGAACTTATACTTATTCACTTATACTTATTCACTTCAAGGATGCCATCCATTTTGCTCTGTCTGCCCCTCTTCCTTTTTCCTTCCATTTTCCTTCCATTTTCCCCAGCATCATTCTCTTCTCCAGAGAAACCCCTTGATGGAGTTTCTCTGTATATGATTTCTGTTCTCCACCAATTTAACACAGTTTGTACCACACAAACAAAGTTTCTGGAATACAGCAACTACAGCAACTACCACCCAATGAAACAGGAAATAATACTTTCAAACCAGGAACAGATTTTATTTATTATTTTTTTAAAAATTATAACAATTTTGAAAATCTTTCCCTGGCAGGGATTGAACTCATGACCGCCTGGTTCTGGGGCAGTGCACTCTCTCAGGGAGCCACCAGCCGCTCTGTGGCAATAGTGATTCAGAGTTTATACTTATTCACTTCCCAGCGGGAAGCTAGTTCTTCTTTTCCCTCTAGCAGAGCCATTCTGGCCCCAATTCTCCAAAAACGTAAAGACATTCCTTCTTTCATCCCTCCCTTTAGAGTCCCCTAGGATTGATGCACCGGGGAGTCTGGCTTGCTAAGGTACTTTGGAAAACTACATTTCCCATGCATATAAAATTCGCCAAAAATCCATGGATGGGTCAAAGGTTATGAAATTTGGTGAGCTAACAGTGGTCCCTGTGTTTTACAACTGTAGCAAGTTTCATCAGGATTGGTCTAAAAATGAGGGAGGGAGAATCCCCTGAAAACAACACAGTGCCAGTCCTGTTTTTTTCTACTGTACATGCATGTCTGCCATGAACAAAGCAATTCGGAGGTTTTGGAAAGTTTTGAAATTATTTTTTTTAAAAAAAAAAATCCAGACGTGACTTGAGAATTGAACTATCAACATCCGAAACAAATTTTGAACTTTTTTTTTTTGGATCAAACAAGCCTACTAATATCCTTCCCTCCAGTGAGCAGTTGGGCTTTATTTCCTGGAGTATGGACTGATTTGACCATAAGGAAGGCTGAGCAAAGGAAGATAGGTGCTTTTGAACTGTGGTGCTGGAGGAAAATTCTTAGAGTGCTTTGGACAACAAGAAGATCAAGCCAGTCCATACTCCAGGAAATAAAGCAGGTGTGTTTATAGTAAATACACATTTCATATATAAAGGTCAAATCGAAAGGGCCAACTATTCAAGGATTCAGTGCTATCTGTATTCCTACAACAGTCTAATGTCATGATGGGGCAAGTAAATCTTAATTTTTCAGGGATTTCTTAAAGAGTTGTCATCTTAGTTTAGATTATAGTAATTGAATACTTGTCAATTTCTCCACAAATATAGCTATTTTCAGAGGTCATAGAATCCTAGAGTTGGAAGAGACCTCATGGGCCATCCAGTCCAACCCCCTGCCAGGAAGCAGGAATATTGCATTCAAATCACCCCTGACAGATGGCTGTTTAAAAGCTTCCAAAGAGGGAGCCTCCACCACACTCAGGGACAGAGTTCCACTGCTGAACAGGTCTCACAGTCAGGAAGTTCTTCCTCATGTTCAGATAGAATCTCCTTTCTTATAGTTTGAAGCCAAAGGTCAAAGTCGGTCATTTTTGTTACATTCAGTATTTTCAGTGGCTGTACTATGCCCCTCACCACTGCTTTTGCTTTTCTCTTTTTTCTTTTTATAGTGGTAGAATACTACTTAAGTTAAAAGTAATATTAAAATGTCACATTTTAACTTTCAGAAAATACATTTTGAACAGTGCATTGTTACTGAAGCTCCCATTCTGATCATAACAAAAGCTGCATGAAATGTTTATTTATTCTTTCATAGTGAATAGCCAGTGGGACATGGAAACAATGCATTTTATAAAGAGGTCAAAGCAATATAAACATCTTTAACTGTAGAGTATATTCATGGCCGAGCATTCCTGTACGTGAAGCATGTTTTCGAAATGTTTGTCTCATGTGAGTGTCTCTAAATGAAAACTAACCTTTGTTTTTTCTTCTGTTTTCAGTTAATGAAACTGATGACATTGGGCCTTTGCGGGAAATCAATATTACCAACCCGTCAACATTCAGCTTCAGACTTTCCAATCTGAACATCAGCACTAAATATAAGTTCTATGCAAGGGCCTGCACACTAGAAGGCTGTGGGAAACCAATCACAGAGGAAGGGATAACAATCGCAGAAGGCAGTAAGTTTAACAATTCTATGAGTTCAATTTTGATACCAAAATGTGTAGGTTCAATGCAGAGGAATGTGGAATATTTTTCTTTCATTTGCTCCTTTTAAAAAGCCAAATCCCAAACACTAATCATAAGCACCAAAACTGTGCTGAGTCCCAAAGCACTGACATTTAAGGCTTCATAAAGCAGCATAGTTTTGATCTCGTGCTCAAAATATTGCAGATCTACCATTTGGTTTTTGAAGTATTTGTGAAATTGCTTCCTGAGATAATTCTCTGAAGACATGGATTTACTTTCCATTTGCTCAGTGTGTGGAAGAAATGTCACCACTTTGAAGTGTCCATACCACTGTCTCTTAAGCCCAGAAAGGATTTGATAAAAATAGCAATGAATGAAGTTGTTCTAGAGTTTGTAAAGTTGTTTAACAAATGAATTCAGCACCTATTTATTATGTGGAAAAGTATCGATTTCAAAGGGATAAAGCAGTCTTGAGCTATTATCAGGTCTAAAATTATGGTGAACTTTACATTATTAGCTGAAGGCAAACTACTACTGTGGCCAGGGGTGAAAATGATTTAGCCACTCTTTCAACTTGTAATGGTCAGTAATTCACTAGCTGATCTACATTTAATTTCAAAACCATGAAGCCCCATTAGAACAATTAGGGCTGCTTCACTCTACTAAACTGCTACTAGATAAATAGCCTGGCCAGTCTACAACTCCAGCCCTGGGACTAAGAACCTGTGAAAGATTAATTGGTAAAATTAAGTGAGATTGGCACACCAATTTGCCAACGGGAACAAGATAAGCAGAAGATGCCCAAGTTCATCAATGCGGCTAACGTTTAGTGGTAATCTGGACAGGCTAGAATCAAATATTTTCTTGTGTTTAATGAGTTAGCTGATTTGGAAGTGACACAACCTATTTAGGCCCCAAATAAAGATGGGTAACCTCATCAAAGGTTACTCATTTTAGGAAAAATAGTCAAACAGATAGTCTGGTTTTTTTTAATAACTAGCAAAATGGAGATAGATAGATAGATAGATAGATAGATAGATAGATAGATAGATGATAGATAGAAAGATATCTTTTATTTTTTACTATATCTTGTTTTCTGTACAAATTCTAATCTGTGCATGAGATTTAGGTCTGATGTATTGAATCACTACCACAACCCTGGACTCTATATTGGAGGAAAGTCAAGATATACATAGATGCATACCTCCACCCACTACTGAATGGTATTACTGTTTGTGTGTGCTTGTATGGCCAAGGTAGAACATTTTTTCTTTTAAAAGGAAAGACAAATGTTACTGCCGATTGAAAAGTGTTGAAAAGATTCTTCAGTATTAAACAACTACCGGCCAATTTCCAACCTCCTCTTTTTGGGCAAGGTTCTTGAGTGGGTGGTGGCCTCCCAACTCCAGGAATTCTTGGACGAAACTGATTATCTTCATCCATCGCAGTCTGGTTTTATGCCTGGCCATGATATGGAGACGGCTTTGGTCACTTAGGTGGATGACCTCTGAAGGGGACTAGACAGGATGTGTGTGTCCCTGTTGGTTCTCCTGGACATCTCAGCGGCTTCTGATACCATCAACCATGGTATCCTTCTTGGATGGCTCTCTGAAATGGGTATTGGGGGCATTGCTTTGCAGAGGCTCTGCTCCTTCCTGGAGGGCTGGTCCCAGTTGGTGAAGCTGGGGGATACCTGCTCAGGCCCCTGGCCTCTGACCTGTGGAATCCTGCAAGGTTCCATTATATCCCCCATGCTTTTAAACATCTACATGAAACTGCTGGGTGAGGTCATCCGGGGTATGGGATTTGGTGCCATCTGTACGCAGATGACACCCAACTCTACACACCTTTCCACCAAACTCCAAGGAAGCCTCTCATATGTTAAACCAATGTCTGACAGCTGTGACTGATTGGATGAGGGCTAACAAGTTGAAACTTAATCCAGACACAGGTCTTCCTGGTCAGTCATGGGGCTGAGAACTAAGACAGGTATTGGGTGGCAACCTGTGCTCAATGGGGTTACACTCCCCCTGAGGACACAGGTCTGCAGCTTAGGGATCCTCTTGGATTCAGCGCTGTCACTTGATGCATCCAGATTGGACTATTGCAATGCACTCTATACGGGGCTGCCTTTGAATACAGCCCAGAAGTTCCAACTAGTACAATGGGCAGCAGCCAGGCTCTTAACCGGAACTAATTATAGGGGGTGCACAATGCCCCATTAAGACAGCTTCACTGGCTGCTGATTAGTTGCCAGGCCCAATTTAAGGTGCAGGCTATGATCTATAAAGCCCTATATGGTTCAGGCCCCACCTATCTTTGCAAACGCATCTCTCCCTATGAACCAGTGTGGAATCTAAGATCAACCGGGGAAGCTCTCCTCTTGCTCCTGCCACTGTCTCAAGAACAGTTGGTGAGGACAAGGGAGGGGGCCTTCTCAGTGGTGGCTCCTCGCCTCTGAAACACTCTCCTTAGAGAACTAATACAGACCCAATCACTCTCCTCTTTTCGTAGGGACTTGAAAACTTGGTGGTTTCATCAGGCCTTTGATAATGACTAGTCCCAGGCCCGAGGCTCCTGGCCATCAGTTAGGGCTCAGCTAGCACCTTACCTGTTCCCTCATTCCTCCTCTACATTGTGATACCGGTCATGGCCTAGACCTTCTCCTTCAAAATTATCAGAAGACCCTGGAAATAGTAGCCCCAGGCCTTAGGTCCACTCCCTGCACTTTACTCATTCCCCAACCTATATTACTACCATATGAGCCCCGTCTAGCCTTTTCAAACTGTCCTGGCCCACATACAAGGGGCCATCGGTTACTCATCTTTCACATTAGATTATTATGGAATCTGTTTGTTTTCATGCATAGTATTGTGTTAAAAGGTTATGTTTATATTTTAATAGTTTTATTTATTATTTATATAAAAGTGATTTCATGCCACCACATTGATTTGTCTGAGGCTTCTATGGAGAAATGAGGCAACCCTTAACCTATACAATCAGTTCATGGACTCCAAATTAGGAGGTCCTCTTTTTGAAGCCAATGAGGCAGGCTCTGGGATAATTTTGTTCCATTATAGATGGTCCTAAGAAACATCCACTTTCAGTTGTAGTATCAAGTTGTTGTGCCAACAAGCTTGCCATTATTTTGTGAGAAGCGTGAAACATAGCAGATGAACTTACTTTGTTGGGGGAAATAGTAATACAATTTGCCTTTTGGAAAAGTTTATCTTGTTTTGCTCACAGAGTCATACATTCTCATAAATCTCTAAATCCAAGAGAAATCATCTGAAATTGCAGTTCCACATTTAATACTCATGGAAGTAGCACAGTACAGAAAAAAGTAAAGGAGAACTGGTGGTCTGTTTCATTTATTGTTTTTACTATCTCTGAATGTTAACCAAAAAAAAAACCCCTTTAACTGCTTAAGTCTTCATTGATTTTTTTTTAGTGTATTGGCCATAACTATTTTACTACCAATATGTATTTGCACATATTTTTTATGATTTAACACATTGTTTTGCTGTAACTACAGTTGAATACTGACTTATCAAGTATGCATGTTTTGTATGCATAGCATATGATGATGATGGAGGCCTGGTTATTTATGGGGGTGGGGATCCTCTCTCCCCCCCCCCCAAAAAAAAATTACTGTCTATGTATTACTATGGGTATATCTACATTGGTCACATACCTTGAATTAAGCCAAAAGTCACTCTTGGACATCTAGTGTTCAGAGACTTCTGTCCGTAATGCAGTTAACCCAGTTGTACCCCATATTAGCAGAAGTTATGGAATGCTCCACTTGACCAGTTCTAATTCAGAACCAGTCCCACTTTTTAATGGGCCAGCTCTACCAGTTTCCCCCTATACATTTTGTATCTTTTGTCACTAAAACAGTGGCCACAGAGCTACGAGGAGCTCCTGGCAATCATCAGGCACCTTAACCTTCCCTCCCTCCAACTTGTGCAACTTTGATGGCATAGGCAAAGAGTTTGGCAATGGCCAGCAGCTCACCAAAGCTCCATGCTCACCACTACAGTGACAAAATATGCAAAAGATAAGGACTCTGCTCCCACCACTGCCCCAGTTCTGGAGTGGAGAGGTATAAACTCCTGAGCAGGATCCAGGGACATGAGGCCAGGAAAATGATTAGATTGAGAGGTCTGGAACTGGTTTGAGGTCGAGAAGGTAATTGCATTAACCACAGAACCTGTCCTTAACCTGCTTTATGTCCCCTTTTCTCTCCCCCCCCCCATTTCTGGTGAGATGCAAATCAGTGCCCCAGAGATATAGGAGGTAAAAAGAAGGCAGGGGAGTGACACGAGTGGATATTATCAATTATCCCTCTCAGTAAAAAAAATAATAATCCCTGCCTCAGTCTAGGAAATGTAAACTGCAGAGTACAATTCTATTAATGGCCCAGGGCTGGACATAGCCCAGTTGTCTAAGTGAGACTCCACATCTTCTTAAGGATTTTGTCCATTTGTGTCTGTTGCCAAGTAGAAGCTGAGCCTTTGTGATAATGAATAATATCACTTCTCCTGTAGCATCTTCTGAGATCTCCAACTCTGCTCTAGTCAGTTAGAGAATACTGAAGAACAATTTTTAAAGATCTGTGTTAAGAAACAAGAAGAAAATGGGAAGATACTTTATGCAAACACAAGACTCTAAATTGCTTTAAGTATGATCCATAAAACAATTTACGTCTCGTTCTTAATTTCTAGCATGCAACAAATCTTTACAAAAGCATGACTTCAATTGTTTCAACCTGATCCTACCACGAATTTGACCAAAAAGAAATACTATGACACTTAATATAAAATGGAGTTTCTTACTATTTTTATATCAGTTTTTGATCTTTTTCTTTCAAGTATTATTTGGTATGACAGAGATTGATACCGCAGATTTTATTTTTGCTTTATTACCCATTTGACAGCATTTCTATCAAGTGTGCCATTTAAGCTTTGTGTATTTAGAAAAAATAATAATTGTAATTAAAATATGACTTGTAATGACCTGCTGCTTAATTAGTGGTTTGATTAGAAAATGTAGTTTCAACTTCATGGAATTCATTTAGCAAAATCTACTCTGCCAGCTAGTTTCAATTATGCTAAAACCTTTTGCATCACATTTTGGTTTAATGCATCGATCAACATATTTGCTCTAACTCTCTGTGGCAGTATAATAATTAAAGTGCTGATTGTAATTGATGGATTGTTGTCTTGGAAAAACATATATTCTGTCTTTTTCTTTTTTTTTTTACAGTGTCCACAACATCTTTAATCTTTTCTTTTCCCCTTCAGTTGTCTTCTGACTACTAATCTCTCAAAGCTCCTGTTTGCTTGCTTTTTAGTTTTAAAACTAATTATCATTTCTTCAGTGTCAGGCAGGCAAATTGTCTTAAGGAATTGCAGGCTCTGATATATATAGATTTATAATGAATTAATCAACAGAAATACCTCATGCAGAATGGTCTTAGGACCTTAGAATATTATGTTAGATATTCTGTGTCCAATTCTGGGCACCACAATTGAAGGGAGATGTTGACAAGCTGGAATCCAAAGGAGGGCAAAGGAGGGCACTTAAAATGATAAAGGGTCTGGAGAACAAGCCCTATGAGGAGTGGCTTAAAGAGCTGGGCGTGTTTAGCCTGAAGAAGAGTATAAGTATGTGAGAGGAAGTTACAGGAAGGAGAGAACAAGCTTGTTTTCTGCTGCCCTGGAGACTAGGACGTGGAACAATGACTTCAAATTACAAGAAAGGAGATTCCATCTGAACATTAGGAAGAACTTCCTGAACTGTGAAAGCTGTTCAGCAGTGGAACTCTCTGCCCCGGAGTGTAGTGGAGGCTCCTTCTTTGGAAGCTTTTAAACAGAGCTGGATGGCTGTCTGTCAGGGGTGCTTTGAATGCAATTTTCCTGCTTCTTGGCGGGGGTTGGACTGGATAGCCCATGAGGTCTCTTCCAACTCTATGATTCTATGTTCTATTTAGTAAAAAGATTATTTTGTAAAAATAATTGCTTTAAAGTTTTCAATCTGAGTGAGAACTATTTGAAGACTCAAGAGTCTGTGAGAGTGTATCCAAATCCTATCTCCAGTATCGAGGTAGCACTGGACAACTCACTATTTTTGTTTCCTTTTGTCTTCTGTAGAACAAGAATGACATTCAATACACTTATGAAGTTTTTGATCCAATGGAATGATAAGAGAAAGTAATGATCTATATTTGCAATCCGGGAATAGTGAAAGATATTTATTTAGGATCTAGAATCAGAAATAAATCACCAAATAAGGAATAAAATTATCTAAACTATTGTGCTATTTCTTACTTTAAATTAAATTTGAGGTTGCTTCTGAGGACAAAAAGAATTACCGGGAAGCATTTTACAACACATAATTTGGTAAAGTTTTGACTGAAATCATGAAGAACCATTTAATTTTATGCATCAAGAAGGAGGAGTCTCTGCCCTCTGTAGTAAGTACACCTGAGGAAAAAATATGTTGCTAATTGGATCTTCCCCAACCTGAAAATTACAGGGTTTTTTTTTTTTTTTTAAAAAAACTTACTTCCCCAGTAACTGACCCCTATGGGATGCTATATGTTTTCAGAATTGCTTGCTTGATTATCTGAAAAAGCTAAACATTATTATGTTTCCCTGTACTGATTTTTCAAACTTCACAAGTCCTAACCGAATTCCCTTACTTGACATGATTCTGTACATTCCTTAGGTAAAGCTGTTGGGAAGATTTCTGAAGCAGTAAATCCCACCCCAAAGATTCAGCCTCTTGAGGCGCTTGAACCTGGAACTGCATACACAGTTCGACTAGTGACTAAGAACTGGGTTGATAATAATAGCATTTCTGCAGATGTAATTGAGTCAAGGGGGAGAGGTGAGACATTCTTAAGGCATCTAAGATAAGTAATATTTTTTGCAAAGTTGTATCAGAGACCATTATATAACAACACAACTCTATTTAGAAAGTCTGAACCCCCATCTACTGGTCTCGGTGATATATTTTCATTGATTTCAATAAAATCTCTCAATTTAAAATAGTCCAATTGCTCTCAGGGAAATTCCACTAAAGTTTTCCCTGACCTGGGGCACAAACCCCACGTGTGATTTTTTCAAAAATTGGATCTCAGGACTGCCTGGTACCTTTCAGACAAATGCAAGTGTGTCCCTAACATGTTTCATTTTACTGCTTTTGCATCTTTGCTGGATTATTTTCACCAGCCCAAGGTAATAACTCAGATTATTCGTAAGATGCCTAAACATCCAGTGAAAGTGAATCCTGATAGAGTATTTGCAGGAAAAAAGGATATGGAAAGAAGCATTAGAAATTCAGAAACCTTTTCTTTAAAAAAATGGGATGGTCAGTTTAATGCAGTGTTTTGGAAGAAAGCAATGCTTTAGGACTGAAGAACAGTCAATAATCTAGGGACAAATTTTAGAAATTGTGATTGATTAAAAGAGCAGCAGTATGTTTTCTTAGGTTCTGTAACTGAGAATAGATGAAAAATGTCAACATAGGAAAATCCCTGATCCTTCAAATGTTTTGGGTTGCAATCACCATCAGTCCCACCAATGTGACCAATAGTATGGGATTAGGGGAGATGTGGTTCAAAATACCTGTGAAGCCCATTGCTCTAGAGTGGGTAGTTTATGCCATATGGGTAGAGTTAAGAATCAGCTTTGTTTATTGTCTTCAAGAACAAATCTGAAATTATTTCAAAAATTTTCCACCATATGCAATTTGCAGTTTTTAGTCATTCTGTCCTTCTCGGGAAAGTAGATTGCTACTTCTTGCATTGCAGTTAGCTGAGCACTTGCATGTGTTCTGTACACTTTTGACTCTGTCTCTATTCTGCAAACCAACTTTTGCATGGAAGGCTTTCCTGAGTTCTGTATTGACTTTTCCTATTTGGCATGAATCTCTTTAATCAAAAGCTGTGTTGGAAATTCCCATTCCAAACATCAGTAGCGTGTATTGCTGACTCTTTCTTTTTCTTTAGTATAAATGTTTAGCTAAATGTTTAGTAATCCTACCATTCTTGGAATGCTGGAATCTATTTCAGCGTAGTTTTGAATGTGTTAAGGCATACAGAAGCAATTTTAAAGTAATACTATTTTGAATTTTACAATGAGGATTATTTTTTGTATTCACATCTTTTTTTTCATTCAAAGCTTATGCTGGAATTTATGAAAGAATCTCGACACAAGGCTGGTTTATTGGACTGATGGGTGCAATTGCTTTGCTGACCTTGTTGTTGCTTACAGTTTGTTTTGTCAAAAGGAATAAAGGAGGCAAATATTCAGGTAAATAGAAACTGTTCTCTCAACTTCAGCGTATTTAATTAATAATGTACTACTGTTGCATAGATCTGCCCCAAACATTAGCTTTTTGAGCTTTTTTCTTGTAACAAAATGTTGAGACACAGATTTGAAAATGATGCTCTACATGCCATTCCTACTAGACCTTCTGACATTGAGTCCTTGTTAGCATTTCCTTCTTTTCTAAGAAAAATATTTTTGGTTGTAGTAGTTTAACTTTTTTTCATTCCAACAAGCAATTTCCAGTTTAAGGAGCAGGTTTTAGTTCCAGACTTCCAGTGGGTTTCCTTTGCTAAGTGGTCTCCTAGAGTCCTGGTCCTGCACTCAACTTCTGCAAAAGTGTTATGGTAGACATAAGTAGGTTAAAGCTGTATACCCTTTGGGTGCTTCTAAACTGTAGAAATATTGCAGTTTGACACCACTTTAACTGCTATGGTTCAATGCTATGGAAATCATAGCAGTTGTAGTTTTACAAGATCTTTAGCTTTCTCTTTCAAAGTGGTCCCACCAAACTACAGACCCCAGACTTCTATAACAATGAGGCATGGCAATTAAAGGGAATGTCAAACTATATTATTTGTACATTGTAGATGCACTCCTAAAGATAATTAACTAGAACCAACTGAAAAGCATTTTTGGTTCATAATCAACCAGAACATTTTTATAAAAAGTAAAGGTAAAGATTTCCCCTTGACATAGTCTAGTCATATCTGACTCTGAGGGATGGTGCTCATTTCCATTTCTAAGCTGAAGAGCAAGCATTGTTTGTAGATAACTCCAAGGTCATGTGGCTGGCATGACCACATGGAGCGCCGTTACCTTCCCACTGGAACCCAACTCACATTTGTATGTTTTCAAACTGCTAGGTTGGCAGAAGTTGGAACTGACAGTGGGAGCTCACCCGGCTCCCCGGATACCAACCACTGACCTTTCGATCAGCAAGTTCAGCAGTGCAACAGTTTAACGCACTGTGCCACCGGGGGCTCCAAACTTTTGTATTTTTTTGAAAATTGTATTTCTTGGGATTCATACTTATTTCATTGCCACTTCTCCAATGATCATTCATATTTTTTTTTAAAAAAATGTTAAACATTGTGAAAAAAACGTTTTTTTATGTATATGCAGTGAAAGAAAAAGAAGACTTACATCCAGATCCTGAAGGACAATCCATAAAAGATGAAATCTTTGGTGAATATAGGTTAGTAGGACTTGCTGTTCTTCATAATGATGAAGGATTACCATAAACTATTTCATGGAATGCCTTTTTAGTAGGAGCACTAGGAGCAAAAATAATTTGCTATTTTCAGAGCAAATCTCATGGGATCATGTAATGATATTTAAATATATTAGAATACTGAAGTTCACACACATTTTATTGTTAGAGAATTGCTGGAGGAAATGGCACTTGGTTTTGATATGTTTCTTGTCTAGAATATTCTAAATATTATAATATTGATTTCATGCTGAGATTGGACATTTTGTTCAGTTATCCAATAGACAAATCCTATTGACATTTTTATGTACTGCAGTACATAGAAGAACATTTGATTTTCTTATTAAGTTCCTACTTTGCTGTTTTCTATAAAGTAGACAAATATGCCACCTATGCAATGGGACATTTCCCATTATTGTTGGGTGCCTTCAGCTCATTGAATCATTTGAAAGATTTATTCAGTGTTACAAATCAAGAGACAGAACTTTGTGGCTACATCCAAACAATGTCCTAATATATAAAAATAATAAGTCCTGCATAAATTAATATATATTTAATTTTAATGCTTTCTAATGAGGCAGATAATTAGAAAGGTAAGCAAGTTATTCAGGCTACATCATTCAGGTGAGCTTACCTTGTCTTGACCATACTTCTGACATGAGTAATACCTTACCTTTCCTTACTCAGCTAGATCCTTGAAATCTGTCTCCATACATACCTCCCAAATTAACTTGATCCTCTCATACCTTCTGTGTTGGCATTTCTTTCCTAATTAACATCATCAAAATGCAAGATTTCTCTGTCGGATAATTATCTAGTATAATATATTATGCTTCCAGATTATCTACTGTTAGTGATCCAGATCTGAATTATCAATTATTTGCTGTCAACATAGTTACTTTCACCTCCCAATATGGGAGTGGACATTTGACCTTGAGGTTTTGGACAGGTTCTTTTCTCCTGATATAATACTTGCAAGAAAAGATGTTTTGCTATTTTTGACATCTAAAATGTAATGAAACCTGTCAACAGCAAGCACGCCTAATTTTAAGTTACTGTGTATCACCCAAGCAGACTTCCTGCGGGGAAGGCCATCTGACAAGGCAGGGGGCACCCTCCTCCCAAAGAGGCATGGATGCCTGTTCCTCTGGCAAATGCAAAGAGAGGGAGGCAAGACCACGGTGCAGAAGAGAAAACCTTTATAATAAAACTAATGACATGTAGGCAAGGGGATATTACCAATGGGAAAATGTCACCCTGGAACTGAAAGAGTAAAATGAGGGCTGGCATCCTCTTCATTATTTATGATGTTGTAACATCGTCAGTAATGCTATTTATGCTTAAGATTGCCATACATTGCCAAAACCATAAATGCCCCTTAAGACCTACCATAAAAACCAGGCAACTCCCATATACACAGTCTTTATTGGCATACAACAATAAGATTGGCATACAACAAGTATATACAACAAGAGGAAATCTCAGATAAAAAGAAAGCATATTTAAAAGTTACTAATATCAAGAATAAAATTTGCAACATTCCCACAAATGAATGGATCAGATTTTTAATAATACCCTTGTTACTGAGAACATTGTGAAAAATGAAATTTCTGTATTTTATCTGTATATTATCATATTTGGGGCAGACAAACAAAGAATGATGAAATGTTTTAACAGAGACTAAGTCACCAGAACATACCCTTTTGGAATGTTCCACTTTTTGATATCTCCCATCCAGAAGAGCTGATGGCAACACATTACATTTTGCAGTCACCAAAGCTCTCCTCTGGGTGGGATTAATCAAAATGCAAAAATATGCTGCTATGACTCCACATTCACATGGAATTAATGATATGGTAGGGGAACAAGTTGTCTTTGTTGCAAGAGTCAGAATGAAGTCAAGATCCAAAGGTCTGCTCTTTACTGACTTGCAGGCTTACACATTTGTGAGTATTAAAAGTGCTTCCAAAGACAGGCCAATTTTCTGAGAATCAAATAATACAATTCAGAAATAAAATGATCTGATAACAGAGATGGAATATAGCTATCGAGATCTGCTCGAAAATGTATATGCAGCCACAATTTTATAGCTCTCATCCATGCCAAGGTTTCAAGAGTGGTTTGACCTGTCTCAGTGCATAGAATGGCATAAGGCACACATCTAGGGAGCCTACCTTAAAAACCAGGCAGCTGCAACAACTACATTCTGTAGCATTGGTATGGAGGATGCTGTAGGCACCATTCCAGTGAGCCACTTGTGGAAGGTAGCTGGATGCATTGTTCTTCCTTGCTGCACTTGCTAGCCTGGGAGAATTTTTTTAGTTGGTGCAGCTACCTGACTTTTAATGTGGGTTGGAAGGGGAAACGGGGTTAGTCAGGCTGGGAGAGAAGCAAATACACATACATACATACATATACAAACATACAAAAACACAAAAACAAAACAACTTCAAAAACAAAAGATTAAAAACACTTTTTCTAGAATAATACTACCCTAAACATAAAAAAAATCCCTATAACTACAAATTGCAAGTAATCTATTTTATTACTTTACATTCTCTGTCTGGTGTTTATATTATCTCAGTTTTCTACATACATGAAAAAGAACCATTGGTAAATCCTTTCTCATATAGTAACAGACCTCTAGTCCAAAAGAACAGTGATGTAGATTTGGCTCCATTTTTTATTGGGAGGACCAAAATAACTGGGCCCCAGTCTTTCTTAAAGCGAGTTCAGGGTTTCTCCTTAATTAACATAATAACTTTATCCATTTGAACAAGTTCACTTATTTTCAGAAGTCAATAATCTTGTAACAGAAGCATTGAATGTTTCCATCTTCAAGCATAGGTAATGACTTTGAGACAAATCTAACATTGACATCATAGCTATATCCCCCAGGAAAGACACAAGCCACTAGTTACAAATAATTTGGCTAATCAAAAGTGTTGTAAAGCAAATATCAAGACTACCTAGATTCAGTTGGACAATGTGCCACCCCTAGAAGTTGCTAGGCTGCAGTTCCAATTTTCCTTACCACACATTGTCATTTAAAAACATTTAGCCCAGCTCTGCTATATATATTACTAGAGACTAAATACACTTGCCAGTCCTAACTAAACTGGACCCACTAAAATGATAAATCAAATGATAAATCAAGATTTTATTCCAGTAGGGATTAACAAATTTATTTTCATCAATAGCTTTTTCTAATAATAAATAATTATTTGCTAACCCCTGTCCCAAAGAAAGTGCCACAAATGATAGAGTTCCATTGTTATGGCTGGATCTTGTAATGCCAGTCATTAAAATCCCATCTTTTAAGTCTGCCAATGCCCCAGTCAAAGGATTTCCAAGTGGTACATATTGGGGCACTGAGAAATGAAGGGGAGGACAAACAAAATAGTATTTTATTTTCTGAAGTTTTCCAGCTTCCGCACACTTGCCCAAATTCTGCCCGTCTTTGGGGAAGGGAGCTGATGGAAAGGAAAATCAGGGGGATGAAATCCCACCACTTGATTAGCAGACACTGTAAGCTTTTGTATCTCTGCGTGAGAATGAAAAGATAAGTATTTTTGGCACTAGCAACAGGAAAAGATTTTGGTGAGGTTGTTTTGTTTTTTAAAAAAACTTTGATTTTTAAAAAATTCTATAATGTGAAAAAAAATCATGAATATGCCCAAACACTTGAAAGAAATTCAAGTGTATTTGAATTTTCTTTCATTCTCATATGACAGAATGAAAAAGAAGAAGTTGTGTATCAATTATTTCACATGTCATGCACTGTGTAGGTAATTGTGAGGATTCTTCTTCGTTACACTTTCCCTGTTGTTGACTATGTGATAAAAAATGTTGCTTCTTCTTACAAATTTTCCTTCATTTTCAGTGACAGTGATGAAAAACCACTAAAAGGAAGCTTGCGATCTCTTGACATGGACATTAAGACTGCAGAGAGTGCAGATAGTTTGGTGGATTATGGAGATGGAGACCACAGAATGTTCAATGAAGACGGTTCCTTTATTGGCGCTTACACCGGATGTAAGGAGAAAGCATCCGTTGAAAGCATTGGGAGCTCTACAGCAACCTTTCCTCTCCATGCATAAAATATTAGCATGAATAATACATTTCAAGTCACCATATTTATCTTTACTAGTCATCAAATATCATATGAGTCAAAAGTAGGCTGCAGAGAAGTTCAAGACCACAGCATTCAGCCTATTTAGAAATAGGGATCTGACTTCAAAGCTGATTTGTGAAATTCTTATTTATCAAAACACAGGCATTGTGATTTCATTAAAATTTGTCTCAGAATTAAAATTTGGTAAGACATATGCCACTCGGCCTGACCAAAAGCACCACTACTTCAGTGCTATATATACTTGTATATAGGGACCTGAAATCTTCCATTATTAGTCCTATAGATATATGTAGCAGTGACAGCACTCAGGCAACTTACACTGGAATTATAGATAATGTTTTAGCTTGGTTTTTGGTAATGGGGCATTGTTTCCCTACTGTGATCCTACAACGAAAGTGTGCTATCAAATCTTGGATACATAGACCAGGATCCTGCAGAGGTGCTCTCCTAATAGAATGGTTTCTCTCAGCAAAACTATGAAATGGGCATTTTCCCCTCCACTTATTCTCCCAACACACACACATTGAAAACCCTCCAGTGCAAATTTCTGGGTAGTGTGGAAGTCTTCTCAGGCAGACTAGGTGAAAATGTCTTTTTGTCCTATCAATTGGCCAAAAATCTAGCACTAGATTTCAGCCATAGGAAAATGCAGCCAATACTTTGGGGACTGTTATCTAATGAAATCTAATCTAGTCTTTCTTTGTGTACAGTGGAGGATAAAGTGTAATCTGCACAACATATGTAGTTTATAGGGTTGTTTTGCAGCCCTCACAAATAAAATAGAAGTTTTCAAAGAAGTTTTTTAAAAGAAAAAAATCTGAAATCCTTTCTATGGGGTGCGAGAGGCTTTTTTTGCCACTTTTGGCCACATCTCTCGGGCCAATTTAATTCCACAAGAGAACTTTTTCTGAAACAATATGTGAACCAGGAGTGACTTCTGCTCACTTTCTGTTGTTTTTCAAAAAGGCTTTTCTTAAACCTAAAATGGTCCATTGGGATCTAAAAACATACCCCAGAAGGAATTTTGGGACAAAATAATTTTCTTTTTTCTTTTCTTTTTCCTTTCCTTTTGTTTTCTTTTCTTGGAAATATACAGTGCAGGGTATAGCATGTCAAGATTTGCTGAGGCTCCATTACCAAATGTCTTGTCAGTAATGGCAATTGCTAGTGTCCTAACAGTGACCTACAAGTTTCTCATTAGCCAGAAACTGGTCAGAAACAATATGAAGTGCTACACATTCTGGTAACTATGTTCTAAAAACTTGTTGGGGACATTGTTACTCAGGAGACTGAGCTTTGAACAAAAAGTTCCCCTTTCTTGTATGTTTTGTGCTTCTGTATATACATTTCAAACCACATTCCCTAAAAATGTCATGTAACATCATTACAGAAATCAGGTTCCAGACAGAAAAAGCGGCATACATTATTACTTTAGACAAATCACAAAAGAACACCCCCAAAAAGAAAAAAAAAGCTTCACACCCTTTTTATATTCCCCCAAAACATCCTGGTTGGTTTTGAAATCTATATTCTGTTTTGATGGCCATTGCTGCAAGATGCAATTTTTCTATCTGCCAACAATGTGATCACAAAGTGGTTGAATCTTCTCTCTCTTTTGCCCACTAGCTGGCACTCTTTCTTTATGAAATCAGCTGCAATAACACTCTATTTGTGGTTGTGGTAAGCACGCAGCTGATATAGAGTCCTTGAGTACAAGCAGAAATAGATTCTTTTTAAACAAATTGACATCACTACCCCATGTATATATTTATATGCCTGCATACCTTTTGTGAATTTTTGTACATATTATGTTTATACAAATTCTTTCAGGTGAGCCACATTCCTTTTCTTTTACAGTAAAATAACAATTGATAGAACAGGGCATTTCAGCTCAGTAGCAATTGTTGTTTTCTTGTCTCTATGATTTTTTATATACATAAGGTTAATTTTCCATATAAAGCACATGAAGCCTTCCTTGTATTACTTTAAAAAAAAACCCAACACCACAAGTTATTCCCATTCAAATCCCCAAGCATGAATATTTTGAAATTCTTTTGAGTCTCAGCTTGATTTCTGCTGAATCAAAGCAAATGCCATTACCAAAAGGGCCTATAAATGACTTTTTATTCCAGCAGAATTCTGTCTTTGGTGTGTAAAACAACTGTCTCCTGAAGCTATATTCATTGAGTGATACACAAAAGTCATCATGCTAATTGCAGTGATAATGGAACTGTTGCATGAAAAACAATCCTGGGGTAACCTCAGTATTCTATGTGAACCCATTTTTATTTGCTATTCAGACTTATTTCATAGTATTTGATAGACAAATATCAACAAATCTGACATATGCATTCTTATTCTGAGCATGTACAAATAAATCTTAATACTACTCTGGTTCTCTTTTAATGTTATTATGAATACAGTTGAGCCAAACCATGATCCTGAGCTAGTCCCAAACATTTCAGCTGGGGATTAGACCTACAAACCTAAATTGTCACTCCCGACTATAAGAGACTCAGCGAATCAATTGAATTCAGATATGTTAACTTACTTACTTTCAATGGCTTTACTCTATTCAGGACTAACAATTGGAATTAATTCTAGACATCTTTAAAGCTTACGTTAAAAAGGATCCCTAGACATAAGAGTCCTAATTATTTCAGAGACACAGTCAGTGTATTTTTGGCTAGGGTTTATTAAGGAGGTATTTTATTAAGGTTTTCAGGTTTGTCTATCCTGGCACAGAATGGAGGAATATGTTTCAACTCAGCAGTGCTAGTATACAAAGCTGCTAAAATTTTAACTTGATGCAGAGATGCAGCAGTTCATATTTTCCTTGTGTATATTCAATATCTGAGCCAGCATAACATGTGCCTTCTCTAAAGTAGCTTAAGAACTCATTTGATACAAATCATGGCATAAACTAGCTTCCATTTGTAAGACTATATGGTAGAATGTATGGGAAACCAACTAGCTTTTTAGTTACACCACAGAAGATATTTGATACCTGAGTGGAAAAACACTTAACAAGATACACAGCATGTGGGACACATGTGAAATTGGCAATTATAGTACCCATATTCTTGCATGGGTGCACTGCCATGCCCTTGCTTACCTGTCTTCAGCATCTGGATAGTACTGAGAGCAAGAGGTAGCCATCTTGAGTACCATTATTTTGACAGAAAGCTAGGATATAAATTTAATAAGCAAACAAAGGAGGAGTACTCACCACTAACTTTACCTCTTCTGAAGAATGGTACAGGTTGGACTCAAATGATTTTTTTTGTCGTGTCAGAAGCAACTTGAGAAACTGCAAGTCACTTCTGGTGTGAGAGAATTGGCCGTCTGCAAGGACGTTGCCCGGGGACACCCAGATGTTTTTGATGTTTTACCATTCTTGTGGGAGGCTTCTCTCATGTCCTCGCATGAGGAGTTGGAACTGATAGAGGGGAGCTCATCCACACTCTCCCCAGATTCAAAGAATAAGAATGCCTGAATATGTACTGTTGCCTGTGGAGGGCAGCTTGGGCATCCCAAAACCTGAAAACAACAGTGTCTTTCTGTGATCAGTTTTTGGGTACACAATTGGATTAGAAATCTTAGTACCATACATTCTCTGACACTATTTCACTGATCAGGCTAGAACATTTGTAAAAAATGGAATCCTTGCTCTGTTGAGAGATCTGATTTCCAAAAACCATGCTGTACAATCCACACAACCTTGTTGTCCATAATGTATCCAGTAGCCACTACTTCCATTTCCAAGGCTCGAGTTGATACTCCATAAAGTCTAGCTTAGGGTTCATGGAACAGTGGAGAAAGCATGAAAACACTCTGGACACACTTGTGGTTGGGGAAGATTTTCTGCCCATGTACCTCCTGGGAGCCTCATACAAGTGTCCAGGAATTGATTTCACATTTTGGAAAAAAAAAACTTTCTTTACCTCAAAACTTTCTTTCTATTAAACAATGCAGGAATAATCTGTGGCTTGTTTCAGAGATGAATCACTGTTCATGGGAGCTACCAAGAGAAGTCTGAGCTAAAGGAGTTCACATTCACTGTGCTACACTTTACCCATGCCTGTTGTACCCCATGAACTAGCATTTACAGGACAGTTTTCTAAACCACCCCCTTCCCTGAAATGCTTCTGTTGAATGGGAGAATAAACATGGCATACCCCACCATGGAAAATTAATCGTAGTCTAGCAGTATTGTTATCTGGTAACAGATTTTGCAACCTCTAGAGACTTGTTATCTGGTTCCATATGAACCACCACTAGTTTATGTCCTAGATCAAAACCTAGGTTCCATAATCTACACCTAGACCAGACTTTTTTTCTTAAGAATCTAAACCAATATTTACCATTTTGATCATCACATTAAAATGGCAGTATGTGGCATCCTAAAAATGATTTTGACAGTGTTGTAAGATCATCTCATGTTCTAGTTTTATCGCTTTTGAGTACTTTACAGTTGGAACCTTAACATACTAAAGTTTACCCCCCACCCCCCAAAAAAGCCAAAAATCTGCAACGCAGACTTTAAAATCTGCTTTCACTTGTTAGATGCATATTACTTGACTATTAATGAATAGTAATTTTCATTTTTTTAAAAAAAAAAGGCTGGTGTCTTTGATTTGAGATGATATGCTAATGTCTGAGAACAACATGTAATTTCAACATTATTTTTAAGATACAAGCTATGAAAACAAATAATGTTTTACCATACAAATAGCAGTGTCCAACCAGGAAACTAAAAAATGAAACAAATGTTTTGTTTATTCATTACTTGTGAGTTTAATGTGACAGCAGTATTATCATTACAAAAACAATGCCAGACCATATTTGGAAGTGTAAAAATCCAACAATATTTGCAACATTATATACTGAACTGATAAACCGATATTGTATGGTAGGTCATTTACTTTTGCAGGGTTTACTAGCATGGGGCCCCTGTGAAAATGATAAAAAGTGAATTTAAAATGCTACTATTTAACTTAAGATAATGTCTTTCTATGAATTTCTAGGTCCTCCATCACAGCTCTTTGGTCAATTTCTGATGGTCGTGTTAGAGATTCCCTAGAGAGACCATATTAATCAAATCCACCCAAATTAAACCTGAAACTGTGGAGGGCCAAGTGCATTTAAATTTTCCAGACACTTCTGTCAAAGGGCTGGTTCATACATGCATGTTTCAAATATATTAACAGGGTCCTTCCTGACTATCTTCACACACAGATCTGTGTGGAGAATTGTCAAGGTAAGCTAAATGGTACTCAGGTAAAGCTTGAAACAGCACGTAATGAGTCTGTTAAGGCAGCTAGAACAATTAAAATCATATAAATACATTAATGGCTGGGTGCAGTGACTCTGCTGTGGATCCAGCTGTGCGTGATCCTGACTCCCCTCAGCAGCTGAGTCATGACTATTTTGGTCATGTAGACATGGCCTTAGCTGAGTTTGGACACTTGCATCTTGACTTGGGGAACAAACATTGTTTGTTGCCACACCTCAGGCAGCAAAATATATTGGGCAGGTTCTAACATTGCATTGGGCAGCCAATGTTTGCTATTAGCAAGTTCTAAGATAACTTTGGGAGCCCCCGGTGGCGCAGTGGGTTAAAGCACTGAGCTGCTGAGCTTGTTGATCGAAAGGTCGCAGGTTCGATTCCGGGGAGCGGCGTGAGCTTCTGCTGTCAGCCCTAGCTTCTGCCAACCTAGCAGTTTGAAAATATGCAAATGTGAGTAGATCAATAGGTACCGCTCCGGCAGGAAGGTAATGGCACTCCATGCAGTCATGCCGGCCACATGACCTTGGAGGTGTCTACGGACAACGCTGGCTCTTCGGCTTAGAAATGGAGATGAGCACCAACCCCCAGAGTCAGACACGACTGGACTTAATGTCAGGGGACTACCTTTACCTTACCTTTAAGATAACTTTAGCATTTAAAGTGAGACTGTATAGGGTGAGCTGATAAAAGCAGGAGCACATTAAAGATAAGAATAAAGGAAAAGCCAGCCTTGTGATTCATCAAGTGATATTATGACAGGCCATCAGCTTTTTCTTTTGCCTCTACTTTGGGAAGAAGGCTATAATAGCAAGATATCAGCACAAACAAAGGAGATGCTATTTTACCATAATGCAACAACATCATGTCAAAACTCACACTTCTGGGTAGGGAAATGGCAACCTTCCAAATGTTGGAATGCATCTTCAAAGATCCCTCACTATGGATGATGTTGGTTTGGCCTGATAGGAATTGCAGTTCAAAAACATATGGAGCTTGCAGGCATTTTGTCTAACCTTCCCACATGGTGCTTACAGAGCATCATTTCTGCCTGTACCATCACCTTGTGGCATTTTTGATATAGGGTTCCGAATGTCCTTGTACCCAGCATCTGAAGCGGCTTATTACCAGGCAATTCTTCATTGGGTGTTCTGTCAACAAACAATGCTACTGTTTCCCAAACAGTTGTATTTGGACCAATCTGTGAATTTCTTCATGATGTGGAATCATAGCAGAATTTTCAAAATTTGCAAATTATTCAGAATCTGTTCAGCAGGAAAAAAAGTAGATGACTTTGCACATTAATCATCTTGTTGTGTCACATTTTTTTCTTCCATGGTTCTTTCATACATGTCTACAGTTCAAAGCTAATGTTTTCACTTCAGTTTTGGACATTGCACAGATGGTACCACCACTATTTCAAGGGGGACAATTCGTTCTCTAAGAATGAGAGCTGCTATTGAAACCTAAAGTCCTGATGTGTTATGATTGGCACACAGCATATGATGCACATTTGAACAACATACTCACCATGAAAAGTCACTCATTGTGAATTCAATATATTAATAGGACCGTGAGAATTGACCTAAACAAATAAAGTGATACTTGAATGGATTTAAAGCAGGGGTGGAGATCAGCTGTCCCCCCCTCCCCCCAGCACCAAACCTTACTGAATTGTATGTCTCAACAGATCATAGCCGTAAGCTCAGAGATAGAACCCAATAACTTCTGAATTTTGGCTTAAACGGTTGGAATGAGACTCAGTATTTTAGAAATAAGTTGCTAAAAGAGGAGATGAATCTGTAAATTTATTTCATTTCATTACATTTATAAAGATTATATTAGATTCATTTAAATAAGAGCATATTCCCATTATCAGTAGGAGAATACAGTAGGTCATATTTAAGATTTTCAACACTACATTTATTTTAGAGCTTTGTTTATGGGATAATATCCCGCTGTCATAGAGAAACTGTAAAAGATGCAAACAAAATTATTATATTCATGTTAAATTTTCCATTTATTAAAGAGAAGAGCAAGGCCCTAAAACAGGGAGCAAATACCCCACAACTTTAGATACAGTCACAATTCTGTCCCGATGATTACATCTTGAGCCCAACTTCCACTCTCAAACCTAATGTATAAGGCTGGTGCCTTTGTCAGTGGGTGTTTGCTGAATGAAGGAGCTTCCAGCTCTCTTCCAACACCAAGGTAAAGAACTCTGGAGCTGTCACAATGCATATCACTGCCTGTAGAAGGTTGGAAGCATTGTCACTCACTACTTCATTCCTTAGCACTTCTGAAAACTCTCAATTGGCAGAGAAGCTAGACTTATATTGTGGGCTCAGGGAAGGGCTTTGATTATTGACTAAACAGGATCCCAACTAATGCTTTTACTATCTATTTGTAATGTTGGTCTCATTACTTCAATTGTATACAGCAATTGCATGCAAGTCTATCTAGCAATCAGTATCAAAGTGATTGAGAGAAAGATGGCAACATAAGCTTTCATAAAAATCCATATCTTAGGAAGTCGACTTAGAGTAAGCTTATACTGGTTGGTAAACCTGGGGGCAGTCCAGAGCAGAAATGAGCCAGACTGGTCCCGAGTTGGCCACATACACTCTCCCAAACCCACTGTGGTGGTGGGTTAGAATCCACACAGTTTAACTGTGTTGGCCCCACTGGACTTCTCACCTCACCCTGTGTTTAACATTCACCTCTCCACACCAGCTACAGACCTCAGTTGATGTCAGAACAGGTGCAGGGAAAAGGTGATGATTGTGATGTCCTGTGTGGACAGTTGATTAGTCTGAATCATACTGCCACAAATCTGCAAGATACTCCAGAGCACCTCCCGGCTTGGTCTGAAGTGGGGCAAAATTGGCTTAACCCAGGATAATACTTAACCCATCAATACTCAATATAAGTGACATC